AACTGTTTGCGCCAGTTCAGGAGGCGCCGTTTGTGATTCATTAGTAGCCTGATAATTGCTATCACTTAACTCAATGCAATAGAGAGATCCCCATTGGCAGCTTGCAGGTGGTTTTGAATCGCTGGAAATACACCCTAGTAGTATCGGCATCTGTCATACGCACTTCAATTACTCTTTTTTCGCGCACTATATCATTGACAGACGACATAGCAGCGACTCTGGCGGGACGGATCCACTAAGAAGGATATATATCTTCCTCCAGCATAACGCAAACTTCGTGCTTCACATCTCCAAGAAAGTACGATATGCGCGCCCGGCGCTGATCGTCTTCAACCGTCATGAAAATACCTCGCAAGGATGGCTCATTACGACCACCCGTTACCTTTCCACTGACATCCACATTGAAATTATTCATCGCCTCCACTCTCATAGTATGAATCGCCAACTGCGCACACAAATTTGAATCCCAGGTGCCCTCGCGATGAGGCCATGACCGAAGCATCTCAATAGCTCGCCACCGCACACTGTAATCACGACAACCGGTAGCCACGAGAGTTAAGGGTGGGATAATGCCCATGTCGAAGCAGACGCTCGGGCGCTCTGGAAACTTGTGCATGATTGTATTCACTAAAGATAGGATGCTCTCGAACTCGGGCGTGTATTGGTCAAGGACGGGTTCATTTCCGTCTAATAGGCAGGTTTGGAGGGTGAGGGTTGCGGCGCGCTGGTGGAGGTGAATTATGTCTGCTCCTCGTTGTTCTTTTGGGCTAAGTTGGGGTGAGTATTTTGTTCGAAATGTATTGAATGCTTGGGCGAATGTATCGATTTGTAGACATAGGTCGAGTTGCTTCTTGTAGAGTGTTTCGTAGTCCGAGGCGATTTGGCTGTGGGTGGAGCCCGAAGCCTTCGCTGTGAAAAGAAGCACAGTGCCCGTCACGCGATCGAAAGCTTGACGCGCCTCTGCGAGGGTCTGAAAAGCGGTGGACTTCTCATTCCCCAGTTGGATATGGTCCTGCTCATCGGTAAACCAGATCGGTCCTCCTACACCGAACTGGCTGGACTGGACGTCCAAGTGCGCAAATGCCTCGACAAGACACCACTCCACCGGGGGCTTGGACATTGCCGCCGAGTCAAGCTGTCTGTGGGCGCCTAGACTTTTCAAGATGTGTATACCACCATGCAGATGTCTAAAGGCGTTATCATACCGGCCGCGCAGCAATTCAGACAACGTGAAAAGCAAGCAGCACAGCAGAGTGACCTCTCTCAGACAGGGATCCTGCGATGTCCGCCGCGCATTAAGCAAGACGATGGAGCGACCCGCCTGTTCCAAAGCGAAGCGATGCCAAGTATTATCCAAGTCCTCCCTAGCAAGCGGCATGCCTTTCTTCTCGGCATCCTGGTGGACGGCGCTCAACGCGACAGCCGCATGATATACCGCGGGCTCGGCGTGACTCAACTGGAGGACGAGTCTCTGCCAGAGTGATGAGTCGAACCATCCCAGAAATGCGGGCATGGATCGATGTTGGAAATAGGCGAATGTTCGTTGTTCGTCGGCATTCATCACCCAATGGATCCCGTGGGTGAGTGAACCCGGCACTGTGATCACCACCACTGCTTTTCTGGGTCTCCGCATCTCGCGGGGTAACCGGTGGAACTCATATCCGTCGCAGGTTCGGCCCGTGGATGTACAATTGGTGCATGCGCCGGGGGTTTCGTCGCATTTCTTATGACGGGCACTAGGAAGCGCGTTTTAGTTTAGCAAGGGATTCAAGGTACCGTGTGTGCTGCGGGTCTAACTCACCGACAGGTACGACACCCAGTCCTGGACCTTCGTCCCCCAGCTCTCTTGCGGGTGGATGCTGGGGATGTTGTTGTTTCGGATGGACCTGGAGTATCGAGGAGCATAGGTCGAGCTGCCAGGATAATTGGAGATAATCAGCCTGGAGATAAACGAAATTAAATTACCTGCGTGGGTGCTGCGTGAAACGCGATAAGCACGAGATCACGGGGCTTAGCGTGGATAGTCCACGTGGCTGGCGCCTGAGATACGAGGCAGCAGCCATTCTTCCTATTAAGACAGTTCTTGAAATCTACTAGGCAGCAACACAGCGACATGCTGAGGTAGGCAGCAGTGTATCGGAGGTATATTTCTGGCCTTTCTCAGACTAATGCGGCTTTATTCATGAGAGTCTCTTAGTTGGTGTTGACGGACCTGCGGTGGGCATCCAGTAAGGTTACTATAGGCGCGAAGTAGAATCAGGAAGTGATAATGCCAGTGCTACGCCTAATACCCAAGGGCCAGCTATCAATCACCCCAGACTGGCAAGTTCAACCACAGAATGGCGAATCCCTGGAACCGCATCAATCCGGCCGTATATCCGAACCCCGCAAATCCGACGGACTTCATCCGCGATCAACTGCCGTGGGGCTCGGCGGTGGTGCCTCGGTGAGTCGGTGCCTTGCATCAGGCTGATCGTCTCTTATCTGATCTTAAGGCTGTTGACTAAAGAATCCACCGTGATGCCTCGGACATTGTAGTAAAGGAGTGATTGCTTTCGCTCGAACTAGACAATACTGTCGTACTCGAGATAACACTCGAGTTCAGAGCCATACACGAGGCGCACTCCCATTGCGCCCTTACTGTCCGAATCTCTACACATCCACCTCACAATACCCGGAATTTCATACCGAAAGAACTGCCACCTGCAAGAGACGACTTTGTGTACACGGCAATGTGGACCACCGGAATTATGGGAGTGACGCCACTGCCACCCGGAACCAATCCGGGGTGGATGCCGTCTCGGAGATACTCAAAAGGGCAGTCGGGAGATCAGATAAGGAATATGCCGAGCTCCCCTGGATGATAATCCCCCACTTTGCCTCCGGGGCTAATCCTTCTGCCGCCCTTATATACTCGTGCTTCTGCGTGCTCGGTCGCGATTTGATCATGTTTCTACCTTCAGACAGACTTATACCTTCGTGGATTTCTTATACATTTATCACTGCAAGCATAGCATTGATTATTTCGTCTATCGCTCCTAGAATAATCCAACACCGCACTGAAAATTCCGTCAGTATGGCCGCAACTTCTTTGAAGAACGTCATCGTTGTGGGCGGTTCCTATGTCGGAAAGGTAATTTCACGCGCAACACGGTTAATATTCCAGAAACATGACTGACAGCAAATACAGGGAGTCGCACAAGAGCTTGCGCGGGTCGTTCCCAGCACACATAGAGTATGTCCCACTCTGACATCTATACGGGTTCAAATTACCATATTAACCCCCGCCCGCAGGTCCTCCTTATCGAACCCCACAGTCACTTCCACCATCTTTTCGCATTTGTATGTGACAACACCTCCCCACTTGCCAAAAAATCATCATCAGAGACACAAGAGCTAATCCGCACCTCAGCCCCGATTCGCCGTCCTCCCCGGCCACGAACAAAAAGCCTTCATCCCCTACTCCCGCCTCTACTCCTCCACCCCCAATGCCACACAACATGCAGTCGTTCAGGCGCGCGTTCTCTCCGTACAGCCCCAACACGTCAACCTCGATCGTGACTGGCAAGGTCTGAAGCAGATTCCATTCGAGTACCTCGTTGTCGCAACAGGCACGCGTCTCGCCCAACCCGCAGCCATGAGCGACGATGACAAGCCCTCCTCCGTTCTCTACCTTCAGAAACACCAAGCAGACGTCAAGAAAGCCAAGTCTGTAGTAATCGTCGGCGGTGGAGCCGTCGGTGTGCAGATGGCCACCGACATGAAAGAGCTGTACCCGGAGAAGGAAATCACCGTGGTGCAGTCGCGCGATCAATTGATGCCTCAATTCCACCGCGGTCTTCACGAGATCGTTAAGAAGCGCTTCGAAGAGCTCGGCATCAAGTTAGTCCACACTTCATCCTTATTACATCCAAGAGACCACCTCAACTAACCTACTTCAGTCTGGTCACCGGCGCCCGCATCGTCGTCCCTGAAACCGGCTTTCCCAACAACGGCACCCCCTTCACCGTCCAACTGAACAACGGCACCGAACTCTCAACCGAGTTCGTCATCCTTGCCACGGGCCAGAAACCCAACAACGACCTCATCAAGTCTCTCCCCGCTTCTTCTCCCGACTCTCTCATCAACCCTGACAACGGCTTCATCCGTATCCGTCCCACCATGCAATTCCAGGACCCGAAGTACCCGAATCTCTTTGCACTGGGCGACATCGCTGATACTGGATTGCGCAAGGCCGCAAGACCCGGTGGTCCCCAGGCTGCGGCCGTGGCGAAGAATATTCAGGCGATGATCGAGGGGAAGAAGCCCGAGGAGGCGTTCCCGCCGTTCCCGATGGCTATTCATATTACGTTGGGACTGGTATGTCTTCTATTTCATTATCTTGTGTCTGCAGTATGGAGAGATGCTAATAGTTCGACTGCACAGAAATACAACATTGTGTTCCGGAATCCTAACCCCGCTGAGGGACAGAATGAGCCTGTTGTTAAGGAGTCTTGGGAGTAAGTTCCCCACATGCACAAATCTTTAAAATTAGTAAAGGGTAAAAGCTAACGATTTGACAGCTCGCAAGAAGACATGGGTGTTGATCGCTGGTGGCAGCGTATGGGATTTGAGGAAAACGGCGCCCCTCAATACCATTTGTAATGTGGATGCATTGCATACTGTTACCGCGTACGATACCATTTTATGTAGATTTGATAGACCATTTATATAAGATATGATACCATGTATACCGATCATATGGATTATCAATTGAGCGAATGATGAATTTAGAATGACGCATTATGCAGAGGTATTTGGATGACCATAGTACATTCAACTGATAGTACACAATAAACAGATCTGATAACAATTGTATCCACTTTTTCAAAGTATTTTATAGTCGACCCCCCAATTAGAGATACATTAGAAATTAAGTGTTCCCAGTATAAGCCTGTACACCTATACTCAAAACATATCGGTTAAAGAGCGACTTTGGTCGGAAAAGTAAGGTTTGCCATCTAGGCGTGGAAAGGGCGAGGGTGGTGGGGGTCCTTGAAGCAAGAAGGAACGTTCTGCTCGTAGTCGCATGTGCTGATCTTGGGGTTGAAGGCAGTGCCAGCACCGCATTCCTTGTGGGCGGGCTCAGTGCCAGGGTTGCACTGGTAGAACTTGTGGCAGTTGGCGGGATCGGGCCAGACAGCGCTGCTCTCGCAAGCGTGGGCGGCGGCGCTGTTGACCAGGAGGGAGCTGATGAAGACAGCGAGAGCTTGGTAGGTGAAGCGCATTTTGGCGGGTTGTCTGGAGATTGTTTAGTTGTGGGATGGATGAAGAGGGGTGGTTTGTCACTCACGGGTTCCTGTAGATAGGTTAGTATGTGAAGAAAGAGTGGATTGGTGGTTGAAGGCTGATGTGTTCTGATTGATGATGAGGGAAATACAGCAGGTTAATGCCTCATATTTATACCTGAGATGGCTCCTTCGGGGTCTGTTTGTGTTTATAGTAGGAACACATATGGAATGACAACTTCTATGGGGAAGGGATGAGCCGGTGTGGTATCTACAGGCTCAATTGAAAAGTTCAAGATGGATCCCCACATAGGATCTCCCTTTCACAGGCGGGTAGTCCAAGGGATGGACGGTCTCGGCCAAGTAGAGGGCCCAAATGTTGTCACAAGACATTACCAATTGAAGCCAAGGGAGAAGCCTGCTATCGCCAAGTCCACAGTCATTCAACAACCTGAGTTTGTTGCAATGCTATTCTTGAGGCACAGTCAAACTTTCCGTACGTAGTAGATACTGCATGTTATGGCAAGGATCGATGGGATGCAAGCCGCTGGGTCCACTGGCGTCACCCCTTGCTCCAGACCCACAAGCATAGTCGGTTCCAACTTCCGGCACGAGTGAGGGTCAGGGATCTACATCCCCGGATTCTTTATCCTTGGAAGCCTGCAGCACTGGCTAATATGTTGATTTGTTTATACAGTGCATCGGCGCGCTAAATGTAGACGTGATTGGCGCTCTAAGATGGGGTTGCCATACACATTGGCGTGTCCCCTGATAGCTGAAAGCTATAGATAGATACGTGATTATCTAAAAGTCTCCAAGGTTTGAAAGCTTTTTCCGCCGCATCAAAATCTAGTCTGAGCTTTGGTGTCCCTCAACGAACTCGTAAATTAAAGGGGATAGTAAGAATGCAGCCGAGCAAGTCAAGGTACAGGTCTAGAGACAGAATGCTCGGCGGCCTTGTTCCCGTGCCAAGATAGGCTCCTGGGATCATGACATACGGGTTATTCAATTTGTCTTAATAATAAACAAACAAGATGGACTGACCCATATCAAATTTTAATATATAACCGACATTCTCAGTCCTGGAGAAAGGAATGAGCGAGGACTTTGGATTCTTCATAGTTAAGCGAAGGGTGGATCCACAACGGAAAGCACCCCCTGTCCGGAAAGTATCACCGCCTAGGCACCTTTCCTGTTGTGTGTGCATACTGCCTGACATATCAGTCGAGGAGATATAAGCGGTCAGTGGGACTGTGGTTGCTTTCGTCCGCCATCCACGTCAACTTTACAACCAAATCAAGGCCAGTAGTATGAGCCATTCGTCATCTTCTCCATACTATTTACTTTCTCATATGCAACCGTCTGTGGGCAGCGTCAGCCAATAACGCGAGCTGAGCTCATTGACCGGTCGTCTGTATGAAATCAATCGCAGCCAAAATACGATTGGATTAGGAACAGGGAATGCTTCTGATGACTAGTACAAAACCAATAATAATTGCAGTATGATTAATGCTATAATTTTCCGCAAATACTCCTGTAGTCGGCAATACAGTTTGATGCCACTCTGGGAGTCTGGGCCTGACAACATACTCTTAGTTAGGATGAAAGGCTCTTACAGCGTTGCGGAATAGACCCCATTATTTGCAAGTGGCAGTCCCTAAACTTGCACGTTTCCTATTCTTTAGTGCCATCGCGTCGAGCGACGAGCGAGACTACACCAATCAGTTGGCTATCACCACCAATCTGAAAACCTGCCCCCCACGGTACCGAAGCTTTAACTCGTGGTCTAGCTTTATATTCAACGAATCAAGTAGAATAGAACCTATTGGATAAGGCCCAGACCTACACGCATTACCTAACCGGGCATCATCCCGGCCAGCATGAAGTCAGATTGACTTAACCCCCTCACCAAGAGACGAGATGAGAGAATGACGAGTGAGGCTTTCGAATCAGATAATTGGTATATATGTGATGGGATGAAGCAGATCTGTTCAGGTCTATTTAATACTTTTCATACAACGTACCAAGCTCAGTGGCTCTATCATCATTCATAAGATATATTTACATACCCTAACTACTACATAATGTCCTCCACCGAAGACGGACTTAACGCTCTTCGTGGCTATAAGGCGTGAGTGTTCCTTCCAACTATTACAAACTAGATCCAGTTAACCAAATTGCAAACAGTACCCTAAATAATCCTAATACCTCCGACGAGGCGAAGCAGAATGCTCAGGCCATGATCGAGCAACTCGGCGGGGATCAGCCCCGGGAGGAACTCTACAACCTCCGCGGTGACGCTACCAAGGACCCTAACCGCGTGGCTGGTGGCTTAAAGGCGTGAGTTGGATACATTTCCTCATATTTAATTTGGAATGGGATATTGATCATCTCTTCAATAGAGCTCAAAGCAACCCTGGAATCTCGCAACAGGGAAAGAAGGCAGCGGGCCAGAAACTGGGACAGCTTTCGGGTGAAGCTCCTGAGGAGTAAATGTATTTATTGATAACCATTTCTAAGTTATGGAATTGTGCACTGTAGGCATTTGATTGGATACGGGCGCTGTGTCTTTTACTACTTGCTGTATGTGTTTTATGAATAGCCCACAAAGTAGGGATGTAGAATGTCAAGTCATGTGAGGGCAGGTCGCGATGGACCTTCACTGGCACCTGTTGTGATCTGGTCTTATTCACCCCAGAGCAGCGATATTGCAAGCTACCAGATGCCTTGGATGAAAATAAATTTTATTGACTAGCATTTATCGTTCTAGCAACGTGTCATGTCTCATTATCTAGGTTCGGAAACTATTGAACGGGATCAGGCACCCTCAGGCGCTCTTCTTCTTTTTCTTCTTCCCATCTAGCAGTGCCGGGAGGTCATCAACAGTAGACTTTCCTTCAAGAATATCTGACATAACGTTAGTACGAGCTTGTGAGGAAGATAAATCGGAGGGGATGCTTACCATGAACTGCAACAAACAACGGAAATTCCTTTAGCTGGTCGTGCTTCGAGAGAAAGTCATAAACAGCGTAAGCCGTCGAAGTCCCCTGCAACTTCTGGCCGTTGAGCTCCTTCTGTTCGATTTCATTGACGCTGACCCCCTGCTCGACTGCATGACAGGCTGACCGGAAGTTCCGCCCACCGCTACACGAGGAAATCACGTCCGCTAGACCCGCGCTCTCCTCAGTAAAGGTCCTCTCATCCACAGACTTGGGAAACCACGTCCGACCAAACTTAATCATCTCCAGGATGCCGACACGCATAATTGCTGCCTTGGCATTTTCTCCCCAGCCTTTTCCTGCAACAAAGCCCGATGCTAAAGCTATAATGTTTTTCAGAGCACCTCCTAGAGCCACTCCGGCAACGTCGCGAACGTGATTGACATGGAAATATGGGCGGGCAAACAGAGTCTCCCACAGCTCGGCATCGACTGCAGGGAGATCCTTTGGGACCGGGTGTAGCTTGACATGCGTGGGTTTGGTCTTATGTTGCCGCTGCTCATCAATCTTGATCAAGTTATCCTTCGGCGACCCATTACGCTCATTCGCATCCATCGGAGGGGTGTCGTAACCGATGGTCGTCTCACAAAACTTCTCCGCGGCTACCTCTGGAGCGATGTTGGCGCCGGACAAGGCACCGCAGTAGATACCGAGTCGCTCCATGATAAGTTCGGAGTGGAGAGTCACGGTTCCGTCTGACACATCGACGCCCTTGATGCAAGAGATACCTCTCGCATAGGGGAGATGGTGCCCGACAACACCATCAAGGGTCTTGCCGATAAACTGATGGGGGAGGTTGAAGATGAGTAAGGTAGCATCCTTGACGGCCGACTTGATGTCTGGGTCGGCTACGACATTGTCAGGAAGGGCAATATCCGGCAGGTACTTGACATTCTCGTGGACCTCATTGATGACCTCAGTCAATTTGCGCTTCTGGCCGCCTAGTTTTTTGTGGTGCTTGGAGGATTCTGGAACCTCGATTTCCTCCTCAAACACCCACATGCGCACCTCTGGCTCGAAAAGGTCGGGATGTTCCTTAGTGTTTTCTGCGACAATCTTGGAGATGGTGGATCCCCTAGATTACCATGGTGTTAGCCAAATGTGCGGCAGCGGCAAGGCAGAGATGGTGCATACCAGTTACCGGAACCGACCACGGCCACCTTATGCTTTCGTGTGTGCTCAGGCATCTTCAGATGTGCCAACTTGATGCAATTGATTAAGAAAGAAAAGTTGTGCCAATATAGATGGGCATTGAAAACCGTCGAGGTGCCATTTGATCAGTGGTTATAATAGCTGGCGCGAGGTGGTTCTGACAGCCCTGGGACTCTGATGTGAGAAGGACGTCATCGCCCTGTTCACAGCGAGTTCATTCCCTGCATTCCCTCCCTACTCCCTTTTTCCCCAATCAAGATGACAGGCCTGGAATTTTGGATCCATCAATAAGAAAAATTATAAGGCCCTGCCCAACTCTCTGCCTCTACTGTCACTGGCTTAGATGACCGCTGTACATATCCATGGTTTGCCACGGATACCTCCGACCGTACCGAAACCACCGCCATGAGGTCATCCCGGTGCCTGTTGTGCTTGGACGATGAATGACCATCAAATCGCCTATATACAACCTTGGATCAATGGCAATTAGCAGATGAAGCCAATGTCAGTTCAGGAGTTTCAGGCTATCCGGGTCGGTCGCGCGTAATTTGCGGTACAGCTGCGATGGCACCGTACGCGGATTTAACCCGGTAGAACCGATCTATAGCTGCGAAGAAAAAAATCGCAGGCAACAAATTGTATGGAGGACCATATTGGATCATGCGTCGAGACAGCTTCACTGCATTCTTAGGAGGGAGTCAGTTGCCCTTGTATTTTACTTTCATTACCTTTGCCCTCACTTTGTCCACTATTTGTCATATTCGTCGTCTACTGTGTGGTTAATATATTCTCTAAAGACACAGGGGTAGAATCATGTGTTTAATCTATCTAGATCTAAAGATGATGATGATGATGATGATGATGATTGTAGATTGATGTCAGAGAGACATATCTTAGTATATCCGGCAAGATCCTGCAGGCCATAGACATGGTGTGTCGAAGTAACTCCTCTCCATCATAGGAATCATAGTTCGTTCCCGCGCTGTAGGATATATATCATTCAACTGATTAAAGCGACACTACTAATAGTACTACGGAGCACTCCTTTGACTGGATGGGCAAGGCGACGAGCATATGCCCATAGTAAGCGGACTGATACTACCATGCTAATTACTTTTCAGTCTGCCCTTCCCTTCGTAGGTTTATGTCTACAACTGGGGAGTGCAACTAGTCACTACCGAGATTGCTGTAGGTACAGGATGTGAAATATGTAGTCAAAACTTTGGCAGCTTCGTCATCACAACCCCCGATGGTCTAGTTGGTTATGGCGTTCGGCTGTAATGGATAATTATTGTAACCGAAAAATCACCAGTTCGATTCTGGTTCGGGGGATATGAGATATTTTTTCTTGCCTTGCCAGTCAGCGTTACATGGCGTCTATAGATACAAAACATAAGGGTATAAAATCAACAAGCCCCCGATGGTCTAGTTGGTTATGGCGTTCGGCTGTAATGGATATTATTGTAACCGAAAAATCACCAGTTCGATTCTGGTTCGGGGGAGCAATTGTTTTTTGTCCCTGGTATGACAGCTACTTAGCTCTACCATTCACCACGCGATAAACAAAAAGCCAGCCCACACAATCATCGTAAGCCCCCGATGGTCTAGTTGGTTATGGCGTTCGGCTGTAATGGAAGTTATTGTAACCGAAAAATCACCAGTTCGATTCTGGTTCGGGGGATATCTAAGTTTTTGCTTGACGTGTATCCACATCTACTATTAGTAGGGTGCTGCAAAGGCGAACAGTGCTGTTAATTGGTCACAACTCACTGTCAAGCCCAAGGTTCAGCATGTGTGCCGTAGATCGACCCGGATATCCCACTTGCGCTGGTGGTGCATGCGATTACCTGCATGACTGCGAATATCAAGGGGGGATTGCTCAATGCTATTTTCACTCCCCATTGCTCGTCAAGGACTGGCCTCCATTCGCGTTTGACAATTCGGGTGGTCGCACCTAAGGACTCTCCATTCTATCCGGTTGCCCGTAATTCAAAACTTCGGAAATCCGCTGTTTCGAGCTTCAGCTACTGCAACGAAGCATCTTGATCGCCTCGTGGTGTTATGAAAACACAGGAACTAGTTAGCCACTGTCAACTACCCAGTCCTCTCTCTCTCTTATACCTATTTAATGAATTTTAGCAAGTTTATTTACCCTTCTATATTAGCCAAAAATGGCTTGCCGGCCTGCTGGCTGGCAGCCGACCTAGTGGGCTGAGGAGTAAAATATAGCCTCGCCTCATAGATGCATAGTTGCTGACTGATGACAGCAAGAACCCCCGATGGTCTAGTTGGTTATGGCGTTCGGCTGTAATGGAAGTTATTGTAACCGAAAAATCACCAGTTCGATTCTGGTTCGGGGGAGTCTTATATCTTTTTTCCTTTTTTACCACTTTGGTGACTTCTCTCACATAGCGTATAATAGATTTGCATGGACGAAACTCAAATGATTTCAATGATTTCAGGCCACTGTATTGCCATGAATCTTTATCATTGCATTCCTAAATTCTTTTGTCGTTCTTTGTAAGATGCATGGAATGAAATATCCTTTGTGCCGGCGTCATCCCGTGCCGAAGTTGGTCCGTACGAATTTTTACTTCATTCCTAAACTATAATTCTAGAGCGCGTGACTTGTACATTCTAAGTGTCAGATGACCAACAATATAGCCCATTTCGTTGTGTGTGCGTTAACCTTGTGGCCATAGCTATACATAAAGTCTATTGTACAGTATGATTCTACGCTGTCTACTTCCAGCCACCAAATGCAATTGCTCTATCATTCCGATAAGACATTTGTATATTTACGTAGTGCTGAAACATAATGGCCAGGTCTCAGCGCCCAGTCCAACGATCCCCCGATGGTCTAGTTGGTTATGGCGTTCGGCTGTAATAGGAATTTCATTGTAACCGAAAAATCACCAGTTCGATTCTGGTTCGGGGGAATCAAATGCGTCTGTTTTTGTTTTTCTTCTTCTGGTCAACAGCCCAAAGAACATCTGCAAATACGAAGCTGTATCGAGGCATGTTTTTTATGTGGACATTCAGTCTCCAATATAGAATAATCAAAGCAGGTTCTTTATTATCGCATAGTAGCAGTCGATAATTTTGGAGGATTTGTTTTCATTCTTAAACCTTTCTTTGTATAATATAAATTCCATCTTAGTATTCTCTCAGCCTATCTTTCTTGAAACTTCCAAATTCATGAATTATTCAGAGGGTGATTAAACCTGCCTGGTTATCTGTTGCCTCAAGCCATTATCGCCCCATCTCGGTCAAATCTCACTTGATTTTGTTATCCACGCGAATTCTTGCTCATCGATTTCTCTTATCTAAGCTTAACCGGATTAAGCACCCCATTGGGGCGCGACCGACCTGAGGGGCGGCCCAGCTGAAACCCTGATAGGCCACCATCTTCACTCCTCGGTCAGCCCTCCGCGGTATTCAAGCCTAATTCTACTAGCCTACTTCTTCCACCTTCCTCTGTAACGTGTGAAATTTCTTCTTGGGCCTCGGACCCATGGATGGCCCAGGGGCCGGTCGCTGGCTAAAGAGGTTGAAATGGCGTCTGTCGAATCACGGCGTGTCCACGGACAAGCTGTGGGCGGGGATCTAAGGGCGTATCACGAATGGGAAGGATTCGATAACGCAATTTTGGCATCCACTTTGGCTTCATACCACTGCTATTACTCTCCCCCCATTTTCATTTTCTCAACCATAATGGTCAGCCCTAGCTCGTGCCACCTGCACAATTCGCACTTTCTAGCCATTCGGCGTTAAGCCGACCGACTTGGCAGCTGGGGTGTGTGAAAATGCTGCAGTGCTGCTGCTCGATTGCGCCATCGCCCCCTTACCTGATGCGGAGAAGGGCGAGGAGTCACTCGATCATGGAAACTTTTCTATAAACTGCGGGCTGCCTCACCCTCTTTGCGTCGGAACGAACTGCTTGGGCATGCGTCTTTTCACCTCATCCGCCTCTGCGCGCTAGATCTCAGCCTCCGGCTCTTCACCATGGGCCTATCCACGATCTTTCGACGGAAGCGAGATGATGCAGCGCCTTCTGATGCCGGCGATGTCTCACCTGTCGCCACCACCACGGGCTACCGGGAGGACCAGACGTCCGACTCCGTATCCAAAGCGGCGTCCGTGAAGGAACAGCCCGTGGATGATTTGGAGAAGAGTCAGAAGACCGAAGAGCCCAATGTGGTCGAAACCGCAGCTGAAGAAGACCCCGAGATCGCCGCGTTGCCCCTCGAGGTGCGCCAGTTGGTCAGTCTTACTGACGACCCAACCCTGTACACCATTACCTTTCGATATTTCGTTCTCTGTATTATATTCGTCGTACCCGGTGCCTTCTTGTCCATGATGAGCCACTTCCGTACCACCGAAGCCCCATACTCCGTTTTCTTCGTGCAGATCGCGTGCCACTATGCGGGTCACTTTCTGGCGCGGGTCCTTCCAGCCTGGGTGATCCGCGTGCCCTTTACCCGTTGGTCCTTTAGCCTCAACCCGGGCCCGTGGAGCATCAAGGAACACGTTCTGGTTACCTTGACGGCGGCATCCGGAGCTACCTACAACTTGGGATATACCCCGATCGCAATGGCAGAGCTCTACTACGGCGAGAGAGTCAATCCTGCCGTGGCTATTTTCTTCATGTTTGCGATTGTCTGGATTGGGTATGCTTTCGCAGCACTGGCCCGCCAGCTTCTACTATATGACCCCAACTTCATCTGGCCGCAGGCCCTCATGCAGACTACGTTGTTTGAAACGTTCCGGAAACAGGATGTTTCATCCCCCCTCGCACGGCGACAGATGAAAGTTTTCTTCCTCTGCTTTCTTGGAATGACGCTGTGGCAGTTCTTGCCCGAATACGTCTTTCCGTTCACATCTTCCCTCGCCTTCTTGTGCTGGGTCGCACCGCATAACGCTGTGGCCAACTTCCTGGGATCTGGGTTGGGAGGTATGGGACTGCTGAATCTGTCCCTCGATTGGTCGAACATAAACTGGAACGGTTCTTCGATCCTTCTTACCCCATGGTGGACGCAGGTTGTTTTGTTCCTGGCCTTCGTTTTCAATTGTTGGGTCTTACTCCCAGCCGCGAAATGGGGAAACCTTGGATCTTACAAGCACGGCCTCATGTCTAATTCTCTGCTGACAGTGAACGGAACGACCTACCCTACCCTCGAGGTAGTTACCTCCGACTATCAGCTGAACGAGACCGCCTACGCGGAGTACGGTGACATGTACATGGGTCTTCAGAACCTCTGGGCGACCTTCTTCGACTATGCGAAAGTGACTGCAGCAATCACGTGGATCTTAACCTTCGGTTTCGTCCAGATCCGAAACAATCTGATGAAAGTTATTCGGTCGCGGCAGAAAGCGTCGCAGGAGAAGGGACAAAGCATCAATCACCAGTATCACGATCGTCTCAATGTTCTCCAGCGGACCTACAAGGAGATTCCACTCTGGTGGTACGTCGCGCTTTTCATGGCTGGCTTTATCGCTCTGATCGTGACGATTGCCTGTGGCTATCTGTGGATTCCGATCTGGACATTGTTCGTAGCACTGGCGAGTGCCGCCGTTTTGGTGGTTCCGTTTGGATTTCTGTATGCCATTTCGAACTATCAACTGGCAGTCGGGTCCTTTAATGAATTGGTGTATGGCTACATGGTCGAAACTCCTGCTGGAAAAAGCCATCGGCACCCTTGCGGACCGTCTACGTACGGATCGATTGCCGGCGATGCCTGGTACCGCGCGCAGTATATGCTGCAAGACCAGAAGATCGGTCACTACATGCATATCCCGCCACGCACGGTCTTTTTCTCTCAGATCTTTGGCACTATCCTCGGTATTCCAGTGAACTACGCCGTGATCCGATGGGTCCTCAACACGAAAGGAGACTACCTGTCGGGCAAGAAGACGGATCCGCTGAACCAATGGTCCGGTCAGTCCTTGAAGTCCTCGAATACTCTGGGTGTCCAGTATGCAGTTCTCGGACCCAGCCGACTATTCAAGGAGCAGGAGATGAAGCCTCTACCCTGGGCGTTCCTGGTGGGCGCGGTGCTGCCCCCGATCCTGTACATTATGCATCGCACTCTACCGCGCTGGCTGCGCATTGATCTATGGAACGTTAGCATTTTCTTCTCCGGTCTGTCGGTCTTCTACGGCAATATCAGCACAGGTTACACATCGGCAATCATCGGCGGGTATGTTGTCATGTACTGGGCCTACCGGTACCGGTTTGAGGTCTGGAAACGTTACAGCTACATGGTGGCCGCTGCTTTCGATGCGGGTTTCAACCTGAACATGCTGTTGATCTTCCTATTCTTTGGCTCGGGAAAGCAAATTTCCATGCCCAACTGGTGGGGCAACAACTCTGACTCGGTGGAACGGTGCTTTGCCTTGGATTGATTCTATGATCTACATTAACAAAAGGCCCTTCCATGCGGCTTCTAGCGTTCAGGCCACCTTCAACTGACGAGGGTGGATTCTGTATCTAATATGTACATGAACGGGGTTGTGGAATCGTTCTAGACCGATTCCCGAACCTTATGATAGACGAAATGCAGTAATGATATCCCCACTTAGTTTTTGGTCCGTGGTAATAGCTTTCTACTTGTTCGACGTACTTGCCCTTGGGCACAGGATTCAGGTGGCGTATATTAACTACCCGAGGGTCGAAAGTTACTTGAGAATGCACAGACCCCGGAATATGAAGGATTTCCCATCGCATCGAGCAGATGGACGAGCATCTGCGGTGGTTCCCGACACGATCGGTCGATGCTCGTTGCCGCAGATACTGGATGATGATGCCGTGGCTGAAACTCTACTGACACTCAGCCACCGAGACGGGAGGGAACGAGGGATACTCGACTCTTCTCCAGTTACTTAAACGCGACCGGGCTTCAGTTCTCGCCATCTGTCAATTTGCGTTAGGATCGACATGATAGAACAATAATAATGCCCCTTCTGCGGGGAAACCTGCCGCTGCTTGTCGGCTCTTCAATATGGACCTGCTGGGAAGAGCTGCTGGTGATGACGCTCTCCGGGGGACTTTGTCGCACCCATGGTTACGCACCACCAATCAGATCCTGGCCGGGATTTGGATTTCCCTCTGCATAGTCTTACTCGTCATGCGAATGTACACCAAGATCCACATCATGCGAAAGTTCTGGTGGGATGATGGTACGGTTTCTATGCTTATATGGTGTAAAGATTTGAGTGGTTGGTGGCTAATACAGCCTGCAGTCTGCTTAATCCTCGCTTGGGTATTGTGTAGCAGCGATAACCTCGTCTCAGTCCTTGCACTCACGTGTCTCTGCTATCACAGATTTTCTCGATTGGCACGCAATCGGTTATTCTCTGTATGTTTGTACGGATTGATGTGGTTCTGGTTGTTAAACTCTAGAGCACACAGAATCTAACCGCCCTCTCCCTGTAGACGGTTACACTTATGGAGGCTATGGAGTCCATATCGAGTACCTGTCTCCCGCGGTTCTCGAAATCTACGTGAAAGTCCGTCCTTCGATGTTGCTTCTTCCTCGTCTTCTATCCTGCTGTGGTCTCGTCGCTGAGCCAGTAACCAGACTCTCCTTGCTGCCGCCATCATTTACGTCCCTGCCCTAGCTGCGGCCAAATTCGCTCTGCTGATGCTCTACTATCGCCTGTTGCACATGATTCGCATCTGGAGAAACATCATTTTCCTCGTTACCTTCATCATTGCCGGCTACACGATCGCCCTCACCTTGGGTCTCATCTTTCCTTGCCAACCCATCGCCAAAAACTGGGACTTGACCATCACTACCGGCCACTGCGTTGACCGCGTCGGGTTTTATCTCGCTACGGCCATTACCAACACCGTTAGCGATATCATATTGATCCTTATCCCCATCCCAGTCATAATCAAACTGAAGCTTCCATTGATCCAGAAGCTCGGGGTCGGCTGTATGTTTGGGATTGGTTGCTTGTAGGTGATCCTTCTTCTTTCAATCCCATGATACCTCCTCCATGGTACACTAAACTATAACTCACCACATCACAGAACTATTATCACTAGTATTATCCGGCTGGTGACTCTAATGCCGCTGGTAACCTCCGATGACCAATCATACGAAATTGCTCTAGCCGTCATCTTCATGTGCGTAAAAACTACAGAATACCAATACCGGATGGGTCTTATTGACACGATCTACAGCATCATCGAAGCCAACTTCATCATTATCTGCCCCTGCCTTCCCTATCTGAAACAGTTCCTGCGCTTCCATGCGCCCTGCTGGATTGGTGACTCCGGCAGCAACAGCAGTCAGTCGCGACCGTCGGCCTCTTCCAATTCTAACTCTACTCCGTCGAGCAATAGGCGCAAACCGGGGTTGAGCGTGTTGCAGGATGATATTGAACAGGCGCTTAGTCCACCGATGGAAGCGCATTGTGCCTGTATGGTGGGTGCACGACAAGGAAGTTCTACTAGTGATGAGTCAAGAGAGCTGATTGGGGAGCGGAAGTAGTGCGTTTGTTGATACTGCTTATGTTTGCATGTTACAGTTGCACTTCGTATATATATTTTGTATGGGTTGGGACTTAGATGGACTGTATATATATCAGACGTCATATTGTGTCAAAGATGAAGGTTTGTCGTTATGCATACTTTGAATGCCAAGATACATGTCACTTGCAATGACCCTCCCTTCTCACGTACTGCCACTGTCTCATCAAGTACACACCGGAGTCGCCGTTGGCTTCACCACCGCATTAGTGGGATTCGTCTGCGAGCACCCGTCAACCAATCCCAGCAAGTAATCATCCTCTGCGGCCTTGTATGCTGCTCCGCAATTGGGGTCACTAGTACACAATATCAGCATATCTTAATCATATAATCTTACTACAATGTTCCTTGTAGATAGAACCACTCACCTAGCACCTCCGCTCGCATCCTCGAAGTAAGAGCAGATATCATGCGAAAAGCAATCCTGGGTGTAGACATTACCCAGTGCGATACCGCTACATCCTGATCCGCAGCGTCCGTTGCAGGAGTAACTGTTGTTTGAACAGTATTTGGGTTAGCTTTTCAGTTCTTTCACTAGTGTTGGTGTAGTGACAGAAAAGTATGTACGGGATGAGTGAATTGGAAGTGAAGGGAAGGATAAGGGATAAACATACTCTCCATCACCATCACTATTCTCGCCATAGTTACTGCCTACCACGCCCACATACGTGCAGGTTTGATCGGCACTGTTGGTCCAGGTGGCTGTTGCGGTGGCGCCGACTTTGAGGCATGTCACGCTGCGTTTCTGGTGGGTGACGGAGGGGTGGGCGGTTGCGGTGAGAGTTAGGGATATAGTTAGGAGGAGGGTGGAGATGGAGATCATCTTGGATGGTTGTTCTCTGTGAGGTAGGGTTGAAATGTGATGGTTTGTGAGGGGTACTTCTAAGTACACAGGTTACGGTAAGTTGGAAGATCAGCGAGGGGACAATATTGTGTTAAATATGAAGTTGCCTACGGGGGACTTCTTCTCCCGCGAGGGAGATAGCAGTACCACTCTACGTGGAATTTACTTGGTCGGGATTCGTTAGTCACTATAAAGTAGTGACTGTTCTTCTCCTTCCTATAGGCGGGCGTGATATTGTCCGCTACGGAGAATGCTCCGAGTAGAGGTGATTCTCCGCAGTGATGCATGATTCATGTACGTACCTCTGCTGCAGGCTACTCAAGCTTTCTTCCCCTCTTTCTGCTCGGCGGAATTCTCGGGCATTGAATGTGAGGGGATAGGGGTTATTTGCATCCTGCAGATCCACTTAAGGGATTGCATCAGGGCTTCTTAAAATGACGTTTCGGGTAGAATGAGGGAGGTGGAGGAATTAGGGCGTGATGATGCGGCAGTACAGTGTCTACACTATAGTCAATACAGAGAAGTAGAAAGTACTGTGTACAAGAGAGAGATACCGTCAGTTTGAAAAGATCACTGAAGATCCATTGATCTCGTCTGGAATCGTCCCCAATGCCTGTGTGCCAGACATGACACCTTAACGGTCAGGTACCCACACTCAATTGAAGCTAGCTAGATAGGGACTAGTGCAGGGGCCGGCATCTTTCATCTTTCTTCACAAGTTTAAACTCAGGCTTCTGCTTCTTACCCCTGAAAGTTGCAGACAAGTTTAATATCTGGGAGTATACAAAGTTTCTCCTCTTTCGGGCCATATTGATTGGAACGAACACTCGTTCAATTCTCCCACAAGTTGACTTCAGCGCCTACGCGGAGTCAAAAATTGTGGCCCTGCGCATATCACGCACATACCGTCCTTGATATGAGCCACCACAAGATCGGTGCATCACACAAGTATTGTCCTAATAACGTTAGCATCGCTTCCGGATTCTACAGAGCGATCTAGATGGTATACATACCCACATCATCATGTCTCCATTGTTCTGCCAGTCCACGGTAAGAACATATTTGTCCTGACTAGCATGTCGCATCAATGCCTCAATTACGGGCTTGCTGTCTGCCTTGCTCTTCCCGTCTATCTGGTATGCATGTGATCCCAAGTACAGATTCATTCGATTGCTGGGCTTGTGCAGTTGTACCAGTGGATGAAGCCCACGCGATGTTGCAGCCTCGGGCAACAAACTCAGCACTAGGATCCGGCCCAAAGCGAAAGAGAACAGCAGGAACAGGCCGACGTCCACCATATCGACCCAAATCCCCAGTACACGGGCTACCAGAAACTGCAAACATTAAGACAGTTTGGTTAGCACAATACGCGGTCTCCCTGGGGAAGTCACTCTTTCGTTAAAGCATCCCTTGTACATACCACGGCCGTCAAATATGGAATACGACGGAGGTCATCCACGTCGGAGACAGAAACCAATAACCTGATGAGCCGATTGTCTGGGGCTCCCAAATAGCGACTTTGCATGAGTGAGTGCCATAGCATGTAATTCTGAATTCTGTTCTTGGTCTCCTCTGCCAGGTCCTCATAAGCTGTCCTGGTGTCGGCAAATGCCGTTGCACCCCCGGTTCCCCTTGGGGGTAATTGGTGCGCGCGGAGGAGGCTATATCCCGCTCGGCGTTGGAAGTAGGAGCCATCTACGTGAAAGAGGCGTGTGCCCCGGAGCAGCTGCGACCGCCACGACGTTGGCGACAAGATCCGACCGTCGCCATCCACATTCCCAATATCCATCAGCTCGCCTTTAGGATCGAGTCGGTTTGGTACTCCCGGTTTCCCGACCGCGCTATCCACCATCGGCTCACCTAATTGGCGCGCAAAGGCAGTATGGCGCGCATCGTCAAGTCGGGTGGCGCGGAATACCAGGACGCCGTACGTAGCCATCGCGGCACGAAGCTGTCCGATGACGGCGTCCGGGACCGGTTGAGAGAAGTCCACGCCCTCACACTCGGCACCAAATGAGGGGTGAAGAGGGCGAAAGGTCAGAGTTGGACGGCGAATGGCCGTGGTGGCCGTAGTAGTTATGGTTGCCATGGTTAAGAGAAGGAAGCGTAGTGTATGTCACCCGACAAATGACAACGCCGGAGACAGTATCCCACAGTTGATGGGATCCCAATATGTAAATAAGGCATTCTACCGAAGATGCTCGAAGCCATATGTGCCGAACTTATAGCAACGGTGATGACATTGCATAGCCAAGAATATTTTGTCCAGCACAAGACATGCCAGAATGCGGCAGAGCTGACAAGTAGTGCTGACCAGAGTAGTCATATGCAATAAATCTTCAGATCAAGCAATAAACCGTAAATATACCAACCAGCCAGTGACTCCATGGAAGTCGATCGCTCCTTCGTGGGTTCTTCAGCACAGAGATATTCCACACTTCTGCAACTCTTTCTGGAACCCCTTGCGCAATACATCCGATCCGTCAGATCACGGATCACGGCCAAGTAGAGAACTTGGACAGGCAGGGCTGAATAGTAGTAGCTTTCAAGTAATTATAACGAAAGTGCTTTTTTTGAGCACTACCAAAACTGGCCTCTCTTTAGACATGTCACCAAAAAAATACACTAATATCGCGCACAATGCTAGTAACCATAATACTAGGTTTGGCCCTCAGCAAATACTTACTACGTCCGCCTCATCCGTCTGCATATTGGGAATAAATTGGGGTAGACTGAACTTAAGACAAAATAACCGACTGCTAGTGCCAGAAGGACTACCACAGGAGCAGCCATCAGTTTGTCTGAATGATAGTTGTTTAGTAGTTGTTCCGTGTTGTTTCAAGGGTTATACCTCGGCCTCTCCAACGTCATCATCATGTGACCATTTCACTTACCTAATCTTTATCTCTCCCCCGCCAAAAAGAGGTCCCTCTCTTTCTTACTTTCACTCATCCCACCGATAAACTTCACTGCAGGTTATAATTGACTGTTAATTCCTGCAAAATTCCGCATAGCGGCTGCATGGGACATTCCTTCCCTTTTGAACTATTATCAATTGACTTGTCATCATTAATTCAGCGTTACTAGTGAGTCCCCATCTGTGCTTCTTCCCCGCATGGGTGATTCCAACCATACCCGTCACTAGGATATCTGACTCGTCTTCTAGCAGCTCCCAGGAACGAACACCATGGCACCTCCCCAGATCTGCGTGATTGGCTCCCTGAATATCGACTTTGTCACCTACACTCCACGTTGTCCCGATGCCGGCGAGACCCTCACAGCCAACTCCCTCGCTATCAGCGCCGGAGGGAAAGGTGCCAACCAGGCGGTCGCGTGCGGTCGCGCCTCTTTCGCTTCCAAAGACAACCAAGATGCGTCGGTGTATATGATTGGCGCGGTCGGAGCAGGTGATCCCTACTACTCGGCCCTCCTTCGCCCAACATTGGAGGGTTCCGGAGTCAGCACAACGGGAATCCAGGAAAAGACGGACAGCCAAACGGGTTCTGCTACAATCATCGTGGATGAAGGAGCTGGAGGAGAGAATCGGATTTTGTTCGTCCCCGGTGCTAACTACTCGGGAATGGATAATGTAGATGCAGTCCTGGCTACCACTCGGAATATCCATCTAGAACAAGGTGTTGTCGTGATGCAGGGCGAGATCCCGAGGTCGACCACCTTGGAGTTGATGAAGCACTTTAACAGCGCTTCCTGCGCTTCTCACCTCGTCTTCAACCCCGCACCAGTCTTCACAGAAGGGATTCCCCTGGCCGCTCTTGCCGGCACGAGTGTGCTGGCTATGAATGAGACTGAAGCTGTCCTCATGACCCAGGCGGTCAAGGAGCATCTCACCCCTGCCCAGCAGGAGCAAGACTTGAAGCCCGAGGAACTTGCACCTCTATTCCACAAACATGCCCAGGTCCAGATTGTTCTAATTACTCTCGGAGCCAAGGGTGCCTATTACTCAACGGCCACTGGCAAGCAGGGCTTTGCCCCCAGCGCCGCGGTGGAGAAGGTTGTAGACACCACTGCCGCCGGAGACACGTTTGTCGGTTACTTCGCTACTGCCTTTGCCAAGTTTGTTGCCACCGGTGCTCCACTGGCGGACTTCGATGCCCAGATCGAAGCGGCCGTTCGGAAGGCGAACGTGGCCGCTGCAGGGTGTGTGCAGAGGAAGGGTGCGATGCAGAGCATCCCGTTCGCTTATGAGATCTAGTGCATAAGCGCAGTGAAACACCTAATGGTTACTCCCGTCGGCCAGGAGAGTATTCGCTCAGAGTACCTACTAAGCCGGACTTTCAGACCATTGATCCGATTTCATATTCGACATGAATTCACGACCGTAGCTTTTCATATCATCGATATGCTGCCAAGACTGACACGGTAGCCATACTCGCAATTATGCAGCGTCTCTCAACTTAGATCATACCACCACCATACATCCTCCCAGAAGGGACCATAGATACAATACCGAAATCAAACTTAAAGACTCGGCTTGCCTGAAACCTGGATCAAGTTGAATGTGATACATGTATTGATAAAATAGCCCACTCAAAATATGGCTACCGTTATTGGGACCGTAAATTATTCGGTCCGACCCTGCACATCTAATTTTCCACCGTCTTTTCCACTTCAGTGGTCTGAATAGGGGTCTCCTCTGCACTGTTTGCATAGTTGGCTTCATCGGTCATGAATTCATCGTTGTTCAGGTACCTGAATCGGTACCAGAAGAATATGGTCTGCAGAGCGAGGGCAACAGCAGGGGCACCCCAAATCCAGATCAAGTCGGGATCCTCAGTGACTGGCAGAAGGATTTCTCCCAGGGCACTGGACAAAGCAGTCATGAAGAGGAAGATTGCCATGACTAGACCCCTCATACTCGCAGGCGACCGGGCATATGCCAGTTCATACGCCGTCACGTTGCAGAAGATTTCCGAGAGGGCTCCCAAGATGGTGTTCGGCAGCTGCCACCAGATGCTGATGGGGCTAACTTCGGAACAGGAAGAGGCATAGTAGCCGCAGGGCGAGGTTTTGTATACACGCCACTGGACAAGCGCACCGCACAGACCGGAGAGTGCGGCCAGGATGAAGCCGAATGTGATTCGAGTGATTCGCTTAAACGGAATATTGTACCGATAAAGCAGTGGATAGATAAAGTAATCGACAATCGGCACGGCGACAATGATGGTCAAGGCATTGAAGTTGCTCAATAGGTCGTTGGGGGCACCGTTCGTCGTCATAGATGCACCCTGGTTTGTCGAGACAGACCCGATACCGCCGTCATTGAGGTTGTAGATGGGAAAATAGAAGAAGATCTCCGTTGCTACGAGCGTTCGGCGCACATCATCCACCAGCTTGTCGGTCCAGTCGACCTGGATTCCCTTGGCTGCCAGGACACTTGGTTTCGCCGCATCGAAGAAGTTCTTGCGCCAGACCTGCCACTTGTTTTGACGCAAAGCAGTTACGGTGATCTTAATTGCCTTGGCGAGATCCGAATTCCCACTGGGCGGCGTCCGGTACGTCTTCTTGTAGGCGGCCGCCAGCACCACGGGCAAAATAAAATAGATGATTCCGGCCAGCAAGAAGGCCAGCCAGTAACCCACATATTTCTCCGCGTATGTGGTAGCCAGCATGTAGAATGCTCCCACGTTGATCACTCCGTAGAAGATGAGCATCGTTCGAGTTGCCGTCATCTCGGGATCCACAATGACCTTCTCCCCAGTCTTTAAAACCTTTGTGTATTGCTTTTGATGGCGGTATTGGTCCAGGACTGTGGGTGCGATATTGGGTTTAAAGATACCGGCTCCAAGGGCCAACATCAGAAGCCCGATGATGAACGGGGGTGCTGCATGCGCCGTGCCAGCTTGCAATACTGAAGGAATTGCGCCGATGATCTGAATGATGTGGGCAATACCACAGATGGCAACACCGACACAAATGGCCCAGTACCGACCGACGTATACGTCGGCCCACCTGTTATTGTGAGCGAGTCACGCACGTGTATACAGTTTGGGGATTGGCTTACCATCCACCGAAGATCGGAATGACATAGGCAAGGAACTGGAATAGCAAGACCAATCCGTCACTAGCCTGGAGTCCCATTCCCAGAGCACCAGCCGTCTCTTGCGTCCCTCGCGGAGGTGCACCCGCACCGTTTCCTCCTATAAGAAGCCGGTCAGCGATATGAGAATCAGGGGTTACCGAGTCTGAAGAGCACCTTTAGGAAGAGGGAACTCAATGAAGTTGGAGAAGACCGTCTGTGCGCCATAGTACGATGCTCGTTCGGCGAATTCTACCAGACAAAGGGAGTATGCGATGATGGGGAGATAGGCCGGGACCTTGCGAAGGCTGTTGACCTCTTCCTCCGTGGGCGGCGGGTACTCCTCGTTCTCCAGCGCTTGAGCATCTACCTCATAGACATTCTTCTCAGGATCGGACTTGTTCTGTACTTGGACGGAATCATTGGTGGTTTCACTGGTGATTATGGCATCGGCGACGTGGGTTTCGCCGGTTGAGGTAGCTAGAATCGCCCACTGCTGTCAGTTCCGGGTACAGCGCCATACACCTGGCTACACTTACCCATATTTTGTTGATTGGGCGTTGAGACGCCGGGGAGTTTCACTGAAAATTGTTGAGCTCTGACGACCCCCTAGCTGATTAAATTGACTGCACAGCTTCCGATCTTTATAGATGGCTGCTAGCAAGGTCGGTCGGATCTCCGGCGGTGGTCAAACAATGGGCTAAATACCTCCAACGATGCCATTGCAGGGGCGAATGCCCGGACAGGCATATCGCGCAATGTAGCACAAGTCTTTGCTATCAGTTGGGTCATTTAGGACATGTTTCCCACTAGCCGGGATCCGTGCTTTAGGGGATGTCTATCAGCCCTAGCCTGTCCCACTCATTATCGTTGATTCGAATCAACGTCCGATGATAACGATTTGGCCGTCCTTTGCGCCATCGGAGCCCACCAACCAGATCAAGGTATCGATATTAATATCACTGCCTGCGGATGGGGTCATGATAATCTGTTGTGATGCCATTTGCTTGGACACTTCCCCTGCTCGACGCATATCTTGATCATTCCCCCTTTTGTTCCTGTCGGGTGACCTTATCATATCCGACCGTTGGCTGGAGGGCTACCCCATAATTATCGACGTGCAGGATGTCAATGACTTGCATCTCCCGATCGGAATGTTGAGAGATTCAACTGTTCACTTTAGACGTGATGGGGTGCTTTTGGTGGATGAGTTTGATGTTGAAACTCACTTGGTTCGCTGAGGTGCTCAGCCCCTAGCCAACTACGGGGTCAACCACCACAGTTCCAGAGGCAACTTGAAGTTCAAGGAAGTTTAGAGCAAAGCTCACCTGCCATAACAGCAGACCGGACGTTGATTTCCCGGCCAAAGTTAGTCTCACAATACTAGCTTCATCAGAACATCCTGGCTGAGGAGTTGGTGGGCTTGGGTTCACCTCCCGTTCGCCCAAGCACCAGCTAAGACCGCGGCCACAGGCTACCTGGAAGCTTAGCGCCATATGGAAATTACTGAATTGGTCTTATATGGCAGCCTATTGGCAGGCCAGTCCGACTTTGTTCAATTTGGCAGGGGTTCGTGGTGCGTGGGGAAGGTCAACAGGAGTCAGCCACCACGGCAAAAGCATTCCTCCCACTCCATCTCATTTGCTCGTATCCTACCTCCTTCGCATCTAGTGGAGGTCTTATCGCTGATGGCAGGATCTATATATGGCAGGTTACGTTTGGAACTATATCAAGCATGGCATGGCGTCTTGGCATTCTATGGCCTTATCAGACACACGACCCAAGGCTCGCCCACAGGTTCGTGGCGAGATTGTGGGCCTGCTAGAAGAGAATTCACGGGAGTTCGCCTTTCTCGAGTGGCCTACATGCACTTCCAAGGGATGGGAGTGAATTGCGACCGGGCAAAAGTCGGTCACAAAATCTTGTTGATGGCTGATGAGGATGCGTCCAGACCGTGAAGGACTTCTTTGTCATATCGTGTCATGAATGGCGAGCTGCTAGAATTCAGGTACCCAACACAAGTTTCCCAAAGGCTATTCTTTTAAGGCCACACTCGCATGAACAGATCCAGAATGACTTTGCATTACGTCGTTTCTCAAGAGGGGCATTCGGCCGTCGGTTACCGTGACACGAGGCCAAGTGTCCCCTAACTAGAGCCTGGTTTGATTTTTCGGCTACTACTTCAGCTATCCAGACCCGGGCAGTTCTCGCTCGTGATGTCCGTGATGTTGGTATAAGGATAAGGGTCAGTCCAGATGAGATCGAACCTAGAATGCATGACTGGTTAGACGCGTCGACTACAAACCGCCTTTGCAACGTTCTTCGGTAGAAACTAACCTGTCATCTGGGTAGGTAGGTGCATCATCGTCACCCAGCTTCTCAGCGATCTTGGTCAACTCCTTGTGCTCCCAGCAGATCAAGATGTTGTCGCTACCGGTGTAGTCCTTCACCAGGTCCTTGACACACTTTGTGTCTTTCTTCGAGCAGGAAGTATCGACAGTGAGGCCCAGTTCCTCAGCCAAGGGGAGAACCGTTTCGTATGCGCGGTCGCGTTTTCCATCTGCGAGTCTGTTAACTACTGATGGCTATTCCACATCCGACAATCAAGCGCAAAATTGATGTACCTGACTTGGGTTGTTCTGCAATGATGTATCCAATGTCATAGTTGGAATCCGGGCCGAACACAGTCTTCAAGCAGTCGGCCCGCTCAAAACCCACAGCATTGAGGCCGGTGCTCCCGTTGCTGGGCTTCTCGCCGTGGCGAATGAGGTAGACGGTCGGCTCGGCAAGAGCGAGCGTTGCCGTGGCCAGGAGGCCGAGAGATAGGGACAATTTGCTGTACATCTTACAACTTGATCGCTATCAACTATGCAAAGGGTAGAAATTACAGTCGCCCACTGTCCGGATGTCCTGCCCCTTATATATCGGTGGATATCCAAGACCAGCCAAAACAGCCCCCACCAGACGAATCATCTCCGAGTTCCCTTGCCAACAAGGTTTCCCCCGAGAAACATCACCATCTCCCGGCTGCTACGAATGGGGTTCGCCACGATGCCACTAGCACATTATGATTGGATTGGATGCTAGTCAAGCCTTGCACGTGGGACAATGCCCTGCCGGCAATGGGCCTGAATGACTTGTGAACTGTGATCCATCAGAGCCACTTCGCCGGTCGATCCCGCCCGCTAAAACCGTGGCCACCCAACTCCGGATCCTTCTCTCCCCAGCATTCTTGTGAAGGATATGCTGTCATCTCCAATTGTTCCAACAGTTCAGAAGCTGGGATGGTGCATTTTATTGGTTCAAAGCGGCCGCAAGGGTAGCGCCCTTACTATCCATACAGATGAGTTGTCATAGTCGCGTGAAGACATCAGCGCCTCTCTACCGGTGAAAGTGTTACTTTTCCCGGCACGGGTGGATCGTGGAAGGGACCGCCCGTCCCGGCTGGCGGAGCCATCTCTTGACTCCGTCTCGAGGAGGCCTCTCGCTCGCTACAGATGCCATCCCCCATACATACTTTGTACTGGGCGATCCTTTGAACATTGCAGATGACACCCATCGACTACCGATCGACCCGGAGATAGCCGGCCCGCAGCGACCGATCGACTGATCCTGACCCCAGGTGGACCAATCAATGACCCACAAGTACCATGAAAAATGCCCCGTTTCCAATTATAGCCAGCGATACAGCCTAGTAGCACGTTGCACAGGGTTGAAACCAGCTGAGTGGATGAGAGCTGCTTCTGTGAATAACAGTCTGAGTCAACAAAACAATTCGGAGCGAGCGATTGTCCCGGTAAACAATCAGAATTCAAAGTATGTGCTTCGCCATAATGTCTGGTCATACCTTGATGATCAACAACCTTGCCAAGGATGATGCTTTTTCTTTTTCCAAAACTAAAAACTCGTTCTTGCATTTCGCTGACCCCGGTGGGATTGACTTTCGTGTGGCGGACGTGCCATGTTATACAAGTAAGTTATGGAACGCCACCAGACCCGGACTATTGGGTGTGAGCAGCAAGGCTGTTCTGCATGAGAATCAACCTACCTATCTATTTACAGACATGGTTAAGTTAGTAGCACACAGACCGCCTTTCTCGACACCTTCCATCTCCGCAATGTACAGCTGTTAATCCACAAGGTTTGTCTGTTCAATGACTAAGGTATGACGCACACCCGAGATGATCGAATGCCAGACCGTCTGCGAATCAGGCCCTCCTGCAGGATCTGAGTACAAATCCAGTAAACTGATAACATCACGTATACATCCCCGTCTTCCGAAAATCCGATGGAAGTAACAATGATATTCACGAATTTGCATGAATGACTAATCTTGTGAAAGTGCGTCCTTCAGGTGTTCCGGGACGATGTTGGAGCTCATGAACTTATTATAGGAGAATAGAAATACGTTAAAGGGGTTGGAGCTGTCCAGTGGACAACTGTAGTAGATACTTATGATTGCTAAGAGCAGTAGCCAGTCTGGTATCAGTATATCTAGTAACAGTAACGGATCTTTGCTTGTTCTACAAGGTCAATCAATTGAGAACATTTTGCCGCAAACATTAAACATTACAATTTCTGTTGAACATCTGCTCAGGCCAATTGACTCTTATACACCCTGGTAGTAGGCGGGTGAATCGAAACACGAAGCAACTAATGCTTCAAAACGTCAAGGGCAAGACCCGTTGGATTCTCCAGCAGGGAACACTACAATCTGATTAAACAGATGCAAATTCTGACCAGCCTAATTCTGATCCCACAGCTGATCCGATACGTAAATATTAAGCTCGAGAGTCCCCTTCGAGAAGTGACTACAGGCCACAAGGGGGTGATAATAAGGCAAGCGGAATACATGTTGCATGGTTCGACTGGACCCCTGGCAGGCCGCTACCAGCAAACACATCAGGGATGTTTACGTAGTAAATCCCGGTACCTGGCTCTGTGTCTGCCACCCAGGAAGTACACCGTGCCATCAGATCGTCGTATTCAATTGTCTCGAAGGCCATGCTCCGGGTCTGTTGCTCGTGAACTGCGTGCAGGAGGTCTGACACGGTGCAGGCAGCTTGAAGAGTCACTCGGACTGGCACGTAATTAACATACGCTCCCACAACTGCTTCGACCCCCGGTAGCTCCAGATTGCGGCCGTTGACGGGCTGACCGAAGACGACGTCATCAGTACCGGCCATGTGCGCCAGGCAAAGCGCCCAAGCTGTCCTGACGACAGTGGTCATTGTGATCCCAGCGGGTGCTGGCGGGTGAAAGATCTTCGTGGTGCTCGTTACAAGGCTTCCGCGCTTGTGGGAAGGCGGCGAACCTGACAATGATTCGAAATCGAGATAGGTCATGCTGGAACCTCAGAGGAAATCACACCAGAACTGGTATGCCTGCGGAAGAGTATGGTAGATGAGGCTGTGTAAGTATTCCGGAAAGTTCACCGTCGGGGCTGTCTAAACCGTACCCTGACTTCCTGGAACAGGCGAGGCATGCTGATGCCGTCATACTGAGCATTCGGAGGGCTTTTGAAACATGGAAGGCACCATGTATGAAGGCAGGTTCTGATATTAAGCTGTTCTAGCCTCATGAACATTGCTTCGGAAAGTATCCGAAGGAAGCTCCTAGATGCATGAATCGGGCGGTGATTCATCAGCGTGGCCGGGATAGAAGATACATGCTGCTAAAATTGGACCTATTTGTAGCTTCTCTTCTGGCTGTATGAGATCACTGACCGCGCTAGATCCGGCGAAAGATTGCTGAAATGATGTCCAAATTAACCCAGCACCAACCGCTGACCGTGCAACTTCACCTGGTCATCCGGACGTACAAGCCACCCAGCACTGACGTTTGGGACGCCAATTTCCCGCGCATCCTAGGTCAGGTCTAACGGCCTGATAACACTCATGACTGGAGTGCACTCTGCTGGGCCATGTGCGCTCAGGGGACAAACCTTATTATGCCAGGCTTCAGTGTCCCTTGTAGCGATGATTCCCCGTCAAGGACTAACGTCTCATCGTACAACAACTCGCTAGGAGTGCTGATGGGCAACAGTCGGGGTAAATAGTATTCAATTGGCTCGCACAAGCTTCGCAGTCAAGGTTAGATGCCTCATATATCAATTCTGTAAGGAAACACAGAGATAATTACCTGACAAAAATGCGGCTACAACATCGATTATTATCGCATTCCAGGCGTGGGAGGCAAAATGTAGAACAGGCGATATCGGCCGTGACTGGAGTCGAGTAGTGAGGGTCTCACGAAACGGAAAGGGAAGCATGCTCAACAACAGCCCCTTTGGGTATTCCAATCGAGCAAAATGTGAAAATAATGTACGCTGCGCTGTCCACCAGCGTGGACCGTCTCAGCCAGCGAGGAGTTATTAGAGCCCACAGGTGGTCATCGTCGATTTGCAATACTGTCGAGCACAGGCTGCTTGCTTTGAAGTGGGTACTTTCATTTTTCAATTTTCATTAATGTAGCAGATTGCTTTGCAATACATTGCAACTAAGTAGCTGGATGGGTGCCATCCAGAAGGACTAAACGTGCCACAGCTTTCTAGATTGCCAGGATAGCCACCGGAATTCAGCAGCTCCTTTCCCGGCATACCAAAATTAAGTCCTCCAGCTAAACTTCATGGGCAGGGATCTCTTGCGCGAACCCTAACGAGAGCTGATCAAATTGCTCGTAAGTAAATTCGCCATCCCAGGCACAGACGGCGGGAGAGGATGGTTGGTCTGCGCATCGCTTACTGATGCTTTCGTATACTCAAATGTTTGCCGAAGCTGGTGGGTGGCTGCCTTGACTGCATGCGCTGTACCTGGCCCATATCCAGGGCGACAATGGTGCTGGTTTCAACATCGTCAAACAGGGCCATATCAACAGCTACCTGGACGGCGCTTGAAGATCATAGCCGAACGTGATATTCCACCTCGGCATGCTCGATCCGCTGCCCTTGTAACATGATCCGTGAAAACTTACGGACTACGTAATGCAGAGATTCGTAGAAATTATATCGTATGATGTCTCCTGTGCGGTAGATACTCGTGTGGACCAAAACTCCGCATATGAAGCGGAGCCAGCGAGGCAGTGATACTGGAAATGTATCTCTTGGGCGCCGAGGATTGTTGTTTATCTGAAACCAACGATTGGTCCTTCAACCAGGAGTTCACCTTCAGCATCAAGTGGCAATTGAGTGCTTATATTGTTCGGCTCTACTATCAATCAAGTGTCACTAACGGGTATCTGACATTGTTAGGATTGGTTCCAGGCCTCATGCTTGAGTTGACTTAACTCACCTTACTGCACTCCGATGGGCTGTACGCGCTTATAAGATTGACTCGAGTGGCCCACATTTCGATCATTCTTTGCTGCAATGGCTCACCCGCAGACAACAATGTCCGTAGTATCGAGCCGTATCAGGTGAGGGTAGGTGAATGAGCGATGCTGTTGCAGACATCCCTTGGTACACCAGCTCCTCCAACTCAGAGCAAGCCGCAGTCATGCCTCTCGCCTGGAAGCATAGCCGGCCCGACTTGAATTATTTGCGGAGAATGATGGCCCAGATACTGCGAAACAGTACTATTAGATCAGTTCCCTTTCGGGGGGAGGTTTCTAGGAGGATGGTGACGACATCCGGGGGGATCTCCCGGGTATGGAGTTCTGTGTTACCACTAGCGTTCGGAGGTACCAGCGTGGGAAATATCCCAACGGGCATGTCTTCTTGACTCCCTACTAATCTCTTTTGCTTTTTCTCTTCTGCAAAACTGTGATTTACTTGACTGAGTTGAGATGAGTTTGGGGTATCTTAAAGGAAAGAGGAAGGAAATCTTGTCCGGCAGGTCCATCCGCGAATCCACTGAAAAAGTCCATGGCAAGCCTGAAGCCATGTGTACCTTAACCTAGGTGTGTACCTTTTACTATCTTTTTTCGACATCACCCGGAGCCTCCGCGGATGTGGCTGATGTCGCCAATGAGATTACTTCGATCCAGGGCAAGTAGTCAAGTAGTGGAGTAGGATTGCATGCGGCGCGATCTGAATGTGTCATCCCCTGCATTCCGATCCAACAGTTACTGCATGCGTTGCGCGCCATAGTCGAGCCGTAGTCGAGCCATATTTGTGCTTCACAGGAAAGAAGATCTAAGTAATGCCCGACTTTCACCACTGTGGTAAGTGTAGCGTGCCTGAACCTGGTTGCTCCCACATAATTACCATGTAGCCTGGATGGTTCATCCTTTGTGGCAAGATATAAAGACAGCTAATTGCACAGTACCCGAGTCCGGAATATCTTGATGGAGAATCCTGGGATCTCGTTTGCAGCTGGGAACAGCCTCTACTTGATACTTGTTTTGGCACATTGTAAATGTCTCGACTGGATGTCGATTCAACGAGGTCTGACTGTCTGAACTGGAAGGATATTCGTAATGATGTTCAATACCGCGACCAGATAAGACCGACAAAAAGAAATTTCTTATTGGATTGCAGTCCGCTCTACTCTTCCTTCATTATGCTCCGTCGGATCACCGAAAAGCTTCAGAGCGGCATTCCTAAATGCCGAATCGAAGCCGCAGGGTGTGACAATGGCTAGTTTTAAACCGACTAGACGTTAATTCTGCGAGGATGCAGGATTGATAATCCGTGAGAACACCCTATGGGACGGGTTGCCTTTCGGAACACTGTTATATTTACCGCCTCGACAATTGGGCTACCTGCAGATGGTGAAATCACCGCCAAAGTTGTACATAGTAGCAGGCATCGGAGATTACGATCGGCCTCGGAGATTTATCTCCGCGCTCGGATGTCCCATGGATTTGAGGACTTTAATACAACACTGCGCGATTTGGACTGTAGTGGCGAGGTCCTACCGATGAAACATTTGTTCTGTGCGGGTTATCCAGGGTAGAATGATGAAAACGATCCGCATAATGGCGACAGAGGAGATGCTGCATTCTGTCCGCGTTGAATTTCCCGTCTGACATGGGACCAATGACAAAAGGCAGAAGAGACTGGACTACAGTCTAGAACCGGTCTATGCTCGTCCATCAGGCGATCGCCGGGACGGGAAGGACTCACCTATTGCAGCGAACTCAGGGCCATAGAATTGGGGTCACTACCACAAGTTGGCCGGAACCTTCACCGCCAAAGCTTGTTCGAGGCCAATTTGACCAAACGCAGAGACGAGTAATGGTGCGTGAAGAGCAACAATTCCATATGGACTGGGGTATGAATAGCGCATCTGCCGTCACGGAGGTACACTCTTTCACCACCGGGCAGGCAGCGGGAGCTCCTGCATCAGACTAGGCGCATTTCTTTTATGTAATGAAGAGTGAAGACCGGCTCCACACACTTCCCAACAGTATTCAGGCCGGTGCCCATCCCTGCCCTCCGTGATATCCGTCCGACGTCAGAGTATGGAGTATCGACTCAATAGGGAGAGTTCCAAGGCCAGAGAGGATCGTGATACGAACTGCCGGCGTAAAGATCTCCACACGAGGAGAATCCGGGGGATGAATAAATGGCGCCCCCGCATTGGAGGTGAGCCCGGCCTGTCCATAGAGAAGGATATCTGTTAGGTAATAGCGGGGATGGAAAGGCAGCAGCATGGTCCATCTTCTGCTCCGACCGACAATCGCGGACAATAGCGTAGAGGTGCACGTTTTCCCGGAAGAATGGAGTGATGCCATCCCAACGCAATGACCGATCTGAGCTAAGCTTTGTCAGAAGAGGGCGCCCTCTGAACCTGGGGAACCCGAGGCTCGAGGGGAAACGACGCGACTTGGCGGGGCGGTCGCAGGGCAAATGCGGACATCGAGAAGAAGCTCATGCTGAGAAGAGAGACACGAGGATAGTGATAGGTTTCACGATGGCATGTATCTTTGGGAGAGGAGAGCAGAGACAGGACAATTAAGCAGGTGGTCGCGATAGATTGCACGCAAGTTGCGGAGTCTTGGGGAGGAGGAGGAGGGGGAAGAGGAGACCAAAAAGGGAAAGTTTGGAAACTTCGGGCGGGCGGGACAAAGTTCACACGTCGGATCCGAGCTGGTCCCAAAGGAGGTTAGCGCAGTTCAGCCAGCAGCAATTGGAGTAAGTACGTTAGTTTGTGTTGTTTGTTTCGGAGGAAGGTTGCCTGCCTGAGGATGGTCTGGTTCTCCAACAATCAATCAACAAACATCACTACCACCTCCAACGCGGAATAAACTGCCTCACTTTTGACTTCCTGCCTGACTGCCCAGAAGGGTGAACATCCCGGTCGGAATTGAATGATGGTCGCGGGTGACGCGGATGGTTGAGACAAAGATCAGCAGACTAACTACTTACTACTCCTTCGTACTCTGTTTGATTATGAGATAGGCAGATAGATAGATAGGTCGGCATGTTGGTCAAACCCGAGAGTCACAATACTAGTACTGTAGACTAGTATCTCTCGGCCCGGGTCACCCATCAGGTCACCATGAGTAAAACCGAGAGCTAATAATTAAAGAAAGAGAGGGAGGGAAGGAGGGAGGGGAAGTGTGAGACGAGCGGGATAAGATAAGCGCCGGGATCAGCCAAAGACCTGGTTGGAACTAAACTAGTTTAGGTAGTATGTCTCCAACAACTCGCTGTAATTACTGCTGTTTCGGTGCTCACACGTCCGCCCGGATTCAGTGTGTGAGCGATAGCAATTGGTCATCACCCTGATAAGGCCTGCGAAGTGGTGGCTTCACTTGCCGCATTCGTCAGGCTTCTAGAAGATTAATCATCTCCACCTCGTCAGGAAAAAGGTTACGCCGGTGTTTCTTGGGTTGTTTTTGATGTTGCAGGTCAGCGTCGCTTCCACCGTTGCCTGTTCCCGAGTCAGAACCCGACCCTCTCTCTTTCTCTCTCATCTTCCTCCGCCCGGTGAGGTGTGCCCATGGGTGTGTGTGCCTGCCAATCCTCTCTCGTGCTGCTGTCCTTTGTGTTCCCCATCCTCGGGACAGTGCATCCCGCCAAGTAGTATGGATACCTCCTTACATCCCCATACATAAAGATACAGCGTTCAGCCCGTTCAGCCTCACGGCTGACCCGGGTGCAAATAAACTTCGCGCCGGACACCCCGAACGTAGTAAGAGGACGGCGTCGATCGGGAACGACGGAGAGGGAGGGAGGGCGGAGGAGGAGGAGCACTAGACTTACTTAGTTACTACTACTGCAAGCGCGGCCAGCTGCCACGGGCTAATCATCGGTCCTCGAGTTGAGTCTGGGGGAAAATGCAGACTAACGCGAATAGCCTTTTTAGCCTTTTCAATCCGGTTGGGTTTAACCAGAGTGACCACCGGTTACTTGTCCGCAATGGGAACTAGGGTCGGGGTCAACTCTAACCCCAAACGGGTAAGGTCTGCAGTTCCAACGTCACCCTGGGGCTTAACCCCTGGTGGGCGCTAGTCCATTTCCGGATGCCTAGACGGGCTAGGCACTAATATCTGGAACCTCATTGGTGCAATTGTAGAAGTGGCGGGAGCTTGGTCCCCACGTGGAGAGCAGATAAACTGGCAAACCTTAGCAACCGCCACTCTATCTCATTACCAAATCGTTTCCACTTTTTTTGGTGGTCACTTTCTGGTTTCTCCATCGTCTGATGGCCACCACAAAACTACGAAACTGGTTGAAATGTTCTTTTTTGCTCCATTCTCGTTGGTCTGTTCCCCTTCGTTTATCAGCTCCTCTGCGGCGGTGCCCGGATTCATCCGACGTCTACTCGCGCTCTCACTCTTGGTGCTCAGTCTGGGCGGACGGTTCTGTGCCTGCGGTGAATTTCCGTCCCGCTCCCATTCAAAACCCTCCCTCTTCCCTCTTGTTCCTCTCTCTTCTCCAGACTCACACACCTCTCTCCTTCTCTCTCTCATCTTCCTCCTCTCCCCCCTCTCCCCCAAACCCTCACCCCAAGGCAATCGGTGTGTGACAGGGCACTGTGTGTTTACTCACTCTACCCTCCTCCACCCAACCGCCACTACCACTAACTCACCTCTACCCTCTCACACTACCCTCCACTACTATCTATCTTATACATATATAACAATAACAACGTGATCATCATGGGTTACGGTGACGAGATCTCCGGTACGGACAACAAGTCCCAGAATGTCATGGGGGGTGAGAAGTATGGTGGTGCCGCCCAGTTTGACGGCGACCTGGTGGAGAAGATGAGCGAGGGCGAGCGGAACATCTACGAGGCCGGTATTGAAAAATATAACCGTCTGGGATGGAAGCGCCTGACGGTCGTGCTGATCGTCGAGGCCATTGCGCTGGGAAGTTTGTCCATTCCCGGCAGTTTCGCTACCCTCGGTATGGTGGCCGGTGTCATCTTGACCGTGGGACTGGGTTTTGTCGCTATCTACACCAGTTACGTCGTCGGTCAGGTTAAGCTGAAGTTCCCCGACGTTGCCCACTACCCCGAGGCTGGACGTCTGATGTTCGGCCGGGTGGGTTACGAGATTGTCTACGTGATGCTGGGTCTGCAATTGCTCTTCCTGACGGGCTCGCACTGTCTGACGGGTACCATCGCCTTCATTAACATTACCGAAAGCGGCGTCTGCTCCGTCGTGTTCGCTGTTGTCTCCGCCATCATCCTGCTGCTCTTCGCCGTGCCCCCCAGTTTCGCTGAGATGGCCATTCTGGGCTACGTCGACTTTGTCTCCATTATTGCTGCCATTCTGATCACCATGATCGCCACGGGCATCACAGCCTCCGACTCCACGGCTGGTCTTTCCGGGGTCAACTGGTCCGCTTGGCCCAAGGAAGGCATCACCTTCACTGACGCCTTCATTGCCGTTACCAACATCGTCTTCGCCTACAGTTTCGCCATGTGCCAGTTCTCCTTCATGGATGAGATGCACACCCCCAAGGATTACGTCAAGTCCATCTGGGCCCTGGGTCTCATCGAAATTGTTATCTACACGCTGACGGGTGCGCTGATCTACGCCTTTGTTGGTCAGGATGTGCAGAGCCCCGCTCTGTTGTCTGCGGGCAGCATGGTCAAGCGTGTGGCCTTTGGTATTGCGCTGCCTGTTATCTTCATCAGTGGCTCCATCAACACGGTGGTGCTGGGTCGCATGATCCACGGGCGCATCTTCAAGAACTCGACCATCCGCTTCATCAACACCAAGATGGGCTGGATCACCTGGCTGGCGCTGATCACCGTCATCACCTGGGTGGCGTTTGTGATCGCCGAAGTTATTCCCTTCTTCTCGGATCTGCTGTCCATCTCCTCCTCGCTCTTCATTTCGGGCTTCACCTTCTACTTCCCCGCGCTGATGTGGTTCTTGCTGGTGCGCGAGGGCAAGTGGAACACGCCCAAGAACCTGATGCTGGGAGCACTGAACCTGTGCTGTTTGATTATTGGTCTGGTGACGCTGGGGGCTGGTACCTATGCCAGTGTCGACGACATTGTAAGAGCCCTCTTCCTCTTTTCCCTAATTGTGAATTCTGTGCTAATATTTTCTGTGCTTAGATTCTCAACTACCGCAGCGGATCCGTGCGTGGTGTGTTCACTTGCGCCGCTCCGGAGTAAAGCATTTCTTGTGTGATTAATTCGATGGGGAGGCGACTCCGACCGGGGCCAACCCTCCTCCTTTGCAAATACCCCCTCCACTGCATTTGCATTTGATGTACATATGACTCGATGGTTATGATTTTCTGTGTGTGAATACATTTACGAGCGCCCTGTTGATACACGAGCGGGTCTTTTTTCTGTCATCTTTGCTCCTCATCATTTGCCCTGAACACTCTCAATATTCTCTGCACCAGCACTATACCTCCCCATGTTCTTTTTGATCTTATTCAATTTTCTTTCCCAGCGATAGATCAAGACCCTCCTCGCAATAGAGTTCTACATTATCATCATCTTACTTTCTTCTATTTGTATACAGCTTGATTAAGCCTCGTATTGGGAAGATAAGCCTTGTGGTGGCGTTGGATTGCCCAGTGGATCGAGTCCAGGTTCAAGGTTTGGGCGAATGTCCGGATGACGCGGGGAGGGCGGAGGTCCATGCCACCGCAGGCGACATTGCAACGTCACAACCACGATCCCTATCCGGAGGAACCGATCGAACAGAAGTGGAAGCATACTTGTAAGCACGCCATCGGATCATTATTTCCGCTGATGTTGCGATGGGATGGATCCAGTGGGGGTCCCGAGTGGTATGTATCTCCAGTGTCCACTCCAACCCATGTCATGATGTAGTGGATGTGCGATCGCCGCTGAGGTGAGATGGGCTGATACCACCGAGAATACGACTTGCTACTTTACTACTGTGTGATAGATCGACATGATGATGGTGACACTTGCATTTTTACTACTGGATAATGCAGCAGTGCTATCTCAGTCTCACTCCATGATGGTCTGTTGTGTTCGTTGTTCCCCAACCGTGATCATCAGTGTGTACCCTAAGTCATCATGGGATAAACATATAATGGTACTTAAGTAGTAGTAGTAGTTTTCCTGCCAGTGGCAATAATCAGCCACCTTTTTATCCACCAGTGGATAATGACTCCCCTGCGATATATAAGGCGTCCAGTTAAGCTTCCACTATCCCTATCGTGGATGATGGCTTTTCTCACTAGTTAGATCATACCATCATTCTGATTAATGTTCATCTGCCGACCAGTTGCCGAGAAATCAGTCATCAACATCCATCATGTGACTTGTGCATGCACCACCTGAGTCATTGTACAGTAAGTATTAACTAATTATGCATAATGCATGACTGATTAAATTAATAACAAATAACTGAAGTCTCTCCTATTCTTTGCTTCTTGCTCTCCTTTTCCTCTCCACCTTCCACAGGCATCAATATATTCCAAGTAGCTACGGGTCTTCGGATGTACTTCTAACCTCCTATACCTACCCTGAAATATATAGCCCTATAAGGACACCGCGCCTGTAACTACAAAGTACCTACACAAACAAGTATAGGTTTCACCTCCCAATATGAGATCCATCAACTTGACATCCGATCGACACTCACTAGCTGAAACCCTGCCAATCATTTCCTCCTCGGCTGCCCCGTATCCCCAGCTGGAGCTGCTATTTCTATCATCCGGCCTCCGCATGTCTCACTTCAACACCTCCCATCATCATGCCCTCGCCAGCTTGTAGGTGTCTATATAAACCCCGGGTTACTCCGGGTCGGAGCTGTCCTCTTCATGCTCTTCTCATCATAGCCATTCCAACTCAATTTTCCGCATCTCTTTCATTTCCATCGCCATCGCCATCATGAAATTCACTTTCGCCGCCATCACTGCCTTTGCTGCCACCGCACTGGCCCAGAATGTCCAGATTGCCTCTCCCAAGGCTGGCCAGACTGTCCAGGCGGGACAGCAGGTGACGGTCCAGATTGAGCGTCCGGTAAGTCCTGCGATGCTGTTATTCCCGACCTTGAATGGTGTAAACTGTCTCAGTTAGACTAACCAGATATTCTGCGATAGACTCCCCCCACCAACGTCGAGGAAATGGCCATCGCCATCGGCCTGCAGTCCTGCGCCTCTGCCACCTGCTACCCGGCCTCGGAGGTCTTGGGCCACGTCCTGTACAATGGTGCTTTTGACCCCGAGTACCACGAGTGGTACTTGCCTCAGTACCAGAACTTCACCGTCACCATTCCCGAGGGCACAGCCTCGGGCAAGGCGGTGCTGGGTGTTGCTCATGCCTCCCTTATTGGGGTAAGTTGAATGCCATTCCAACTTATGGATCTCTGCTGATTTTATTGTGTTCTAGGCTTCGTTTGAGCCGTACCTCCAAACCCTCAGCCAGAACATCACGATCGCTTAGGTTGGTGGTGTAGATGTACAAAGGGGGGTGGTTTGAGGGAGCTATATCAAAGTGTCTAGGATATATTCTCGCCTATTCGATCAGTCTGTGTACATAGCACCTCATTAATCAAGTTGAGCAACTCTTTATCCCAAGAACAGTACGCGCAATCTATACCCGATGATATAGCTCGTCCCGGATGGTGGTGATTTAGCGCCAATCACGCCATCCCTTGCATTTCGCTTGCACGACAGATCGGCATCGAGCATCAACAGGAATTGCATTGTCCAATGGATGACTTGATTGATAGTATCTCAAGTGGGGTGGTGGTGTTTTCACAGAATACTTAAATAAAGAGGTAACCTTCGCGGTCCCGCTGCAGTGTAAATAAACCACAATAATACTACAACCATGAAAGGACGCTCACTTCTCGCCTTCGCCTCTCTGGCTCAGGCGTCTATTGACTCCTTTGCAGCAATTGGCAAACCGGACAGCCAGAATGTGCTACAGGACCATCATGTAGCAACCCACTCTTCCAGCAGCCGTCCCAACATCGTCTTCATCCTCGTCGATGACCAGGACCTGCAAATGGACTCCCTCCACTATACTCCACGCATCAACCACTACCTCGCCAGCCAGGGCGCCTTTTACCGCAACCACTTCGTCACTACTGCCTTGTGCTGTCCTTCACGAGTGAGTCTCTGGACCGGCAAGCAAGCTCACAATACCAACGTGACCGAGATCTATCCCCCATACGGTACCCCGTAACCCTACCACAACCACCAATACCCAAAGCACTAACAGAAAACTACAGGAGGATACCCCAAATTCGTCGCCGAAGGCCACAACGAGAACTGGCTCCCCCTCTGGCTCCAAGCAGCCGGCTACTCCACCTACTACACAGGGAAACTCTTCAACGCCCACACCGTGGACAACTACAATGCCCCCTTCGTCACGGGCTTCAATGCCTCCGATTTCCTCCTCGACCCGTACACTTACCAGTACCTTCGTCCTCACTACCAACGGAACCAGGACCCTCCAACCAGCTACGAGGGCCAACATACCGTCGAGGTGATCACTAAAAAGGCCCTCGGGTTCCTCGATGATGCTATCGCCGGCGATGAACCATTCTTTCTCACCGTCGCCCCAGTGGCGCCGCACTCCAACCTGAACATGACAGACGAGAATGACACCACGACATTCCGCTTCTCTCCTCCTATTCCACTAGACAAACATAAGCATTTGTTTCAGGATGCTAAAATCCCCCGAACCCCCAACTTCAACCCCGACCATCCTAGTGGAGTTAGCTGGGTGCGGTCCCTCCCGCAGCAAGGTGCTGAGAGTGTCGCCTATAATGATGAGTTCTACCGCGATAGACTCCGTTCGTTGCAGGGTGTGGATGAACTCGTCGAGGAAATAGTCCTTCGATTGGATGATGCGGGTATCCTTGATAATACGTATATTTTCTATACCTCGGATAATGGGTACCATATTGGTCAGCATCGCCTACATCCTGGTAAGGAGTGTGGGTTCGATGAGGATATTCGAGTTCCGATGTTTGTTAGGGGACCGGGAGTGCCGAGGGGAGTGGAGGTGAGTGCGGTGACGACGCATATTGATTTGGCGCCGACTATCTTGGATATTGTGGGTGGTGAAGCGGAGGGTGAGCTGGATGGGGTGGCTATTCCGTTGACAACAAAGGAGATTCATGCTGCGGATCTCGATGGGGGCAGACATGAACATGTTAATGTCGAGTATTGGGGGTGGGCTGGGTTTGAGGGTGCTTTTGGACGGGATGGTAAGTATCGTCCTGCCTTTTACAGCCTGTGAGGGATATGCTGATGGAGTATGACAGAGAACGGTGGACCTGCTACCTTCACCAATAATACCTACAAGGCGTTGAGGCTGATCAGCCCCGACTTTAACCTTTACTACTCTGTCTGGTGTAGTGGCGAGCATGAACTCTACGATTTGACTGTATGTCATCTATACCATTCCATCAGTTCTATGTACTATACTGACACATATGTCCAGACGGACCCCTACCAACTGCACAACCTCTACCCAAACCTAGCAGCATCCAAAATAGGATCCTACTCCGCCGTCAAAATATCCACTCGTCTCGATGCCCTGCTCATGGTGCTTAAATCGTGCAAAGGAGATACTTGCATCCAGCCATGGCGGACTTTGCATCCTTACGGCGATGTGCATAGCTTGCTTGATGCGCTGGACGACACGTTCGATGCGTTCTATGTCCGTCAGGTACGGGTGCAGTTTGGCTGGTGCGAGCATGGATATTTGCTCGAGGCCGAAGGGCCGCAAGTACCGCTGGCGTATCGGCATACGAGGTGGAGTGATTGGGTTTGATGCTCAGAGTTGTCGGATGATCTCAAGAAGCAAAGTCAACGACAACAGTGATGCCTGGAAAATCAAATAGAGTGAGATAAAGGGTGATTTTGTAAATATCAAATTCCCAGATACCCGAGAGTGATATCACAGACAATCGTATTTTGTGCTTTCGAGGCTCATAAGCCTATCTACAATTTGAACATTGTAAAGCTTCCAGGCTATTACAGCCGACTCCCCTTCCCCGGCTCACTCACCAACTTCACCTTCTGCAACGCATTCCCATCCTTGAACCCTCTCATCAGCTCATTAGACCCCTTCTCCCCAGCCCCCAACTTCCTCCACTTCACCAACTCCAACAATTCCGACTGCACTCCTTCCACACGGTCCACTACCAACTGTCCCAACACCGGCAGGAATTTGAACCCATGTCCACTACCACCCGTAGCCACCATCAATCCCTTCTTCCCGGGCACCCGATCAATCACCCAGTGATTATCATACGAGTCCGTATACCAGCACAACCGCGTCTGAGAGATCTTTATTCCTGCCTCCTTGAGTTCAGGTATATACCGATCCAGGAAACCTTGAATAACAGAGACGGACTTTTCTGGTAATCCAGACACAGACGGAGCCGTCCATTTCGTGATCGGGGCGCTGCGCACCTGTCCATCTAATTGAACCTGCGGATGTGTGTATTTCGTCCCCCGATAACCGATCTTCAGCACTCCCCGGTCATCCAGTGGGAAGCCATACAGATTGCCGTTTTCGCCGCTGCGCACGTTCCATTGGAAGACGGGAAAGTTAGATGCCGAGAATCGTTGGCGGAGTGGAGAATTCTCCGGGATTTGTATCATCGCTACAGACCCCGCAGTGGTTTCGCAGAGCCCGTCCATTTCTGGGACGAGGGTGGGTGTCCAGCCCCCGCAGGCAACAATGGTTAAGGCTGCCGTATGATGCTTGCCATCGGCGGTGCGAATTCCGGTTATCTCGCCATTGGATTCGAGAAGACCCTCGAAGCGACCAGCCTGGCGGTCTAAGACAAGCTTGACGCCTAGTTTCTCCGCTAGGTGGAGTGCGTAGCGACATGCCTTTTCGGCATAGACGAACCCCCCGATCATGTCAAGGTATCCGCTTGGTTGTTGTCCGTCGCTCGAGAGGTGGAAGGGGTCGACTGCGTAGCCATAGCCGTCTGCTTTGGCTCGGGTGGCTTCTTGCGGATTGGACGCAAACAGGTACTGAGTGTGCCCAAGGCCGGCCTTGGTCAGGTTCTCTACTGAGGACTTTTCAAAGGGGTTCAGGCCAGCTGCATCCCCGTGGTCACCGAAATGGTAGTTGCCGCAGTTGACATAGATGCGTTCTTTGCGAGTCATTCCAGGGGGTAGAGTTGTCCCTTCGGCGAGGGTGTCGTTCCACGCCTCCCATGCCTTGATTGCTTCCAGGGTGAAGTTCTGGTACCATGTTTCGTGGCCGTAGGCAGCCCGTATGATCTTGTTGCAATCTGATAGTTGTCATTAGCATGAGTATCTACTTGGCTGCGGTGCGTAGTACCTGCAGATGCGGCATCACAGCCACGATCAAAGTCGTAAAGCGTCTCGTGGTAGGGCTGGCGGTCAAAGACGGTGACGTTGTGGTATCCCCTCCGAACCAGATGAATGGCGCTGGAGAGGCCAAACACGCCCGCGCCAACAATGACGATGGGGGATGTCTTGTCGTCAGGAGCAGACATGATAAATGCACGGTAGATGCACAGTAACTGGTGCACGCTTATCAGGGCCGGTGCAATTTATAGTTATGGATTGGTTCTGACAGAGGCGCTGCCAAGCTACTGATAGGATAAAGTTGGTCGTGCGGAGAAGCTGGACACCCCCACCCTTCAATGCTGGTCACACTGATAACGCGGGGCTGCAGCAGACACGGGATGGATGGACCTTCCTGGCAGGAATGAGAATGAGGATGATGATGCCACAAGGACGAAGATGATGTGTTCCAGAGAGGGGTTATCTATCATCTCATCGCTGGCATCGGGCTGGCCCGCCTGGGCTTCCATTTGCGGCAACCCAACCCTGATATGCGTTGGAATTACTCCTCACGGCGGAATGATACGAAGAGGAGCCTATTTGATGCCATCTTCCATCTTATCTGTTGCTGGCATCAGGATCGATAAGTGACAGAGTCGATATGCCATGTGACTCTTGACTTCGACAACGAAGATGATAGTGAACTGAAGCATATATCCTCGGGCTGCTCCCGATTGTCCATCGAGCATCATTTCTCAAAGACAGAAAACACCTCGTAATTGTCTGAGGCATATATTTGACCACTGTCTCACTGTAACATTCACCAAATCCAGCCATGGACACGCAGAAAGATGACTACAAGTCACACGCTGTCGCAGAAGAAGCAGGTGTCGTAGTAGGAGACTCCATCCCCATCGACGCCGCAGCGGAGCGGTCGGTCGTGCGCAAGCTGGACTTCCGGTACTTCCTCCATCCTCTTTGCCTGCTGGAAAAATGCTAATTTACAGGCTGCTTCCGGTCCTGTCGCTCATGTACTTCTTCAACTCCCTCGACCGCTCCAACTTGGGCAATGCCAAAACAGATGGCCTCGAGAACGACCTTCACCTGGTCGGAAATCAGTATAATGTCATATTGGCTGTCTTTAACGTTACGTTCTGCTTGTTTGACCTGCCGTCCAATTTGATGTTGAAGAAATTTAGCGGAAAGGTGATGCTGCCGACAATGATGATAGGATGGTGGGTTACCTTTCTGGTATATCTGATCCCGCTAAAAGCAGCCCCAGGGGTTCCATCACACTGCTGCAATGCGCTGTCTTCAACTTTGCAGGCCTGTTAGTCTGCCGTTTAATCATGGGGATATTCGAAGCGGGGTTCTTTGGTAGGTGAAAGCTTCCGCTGCTGACCTGCTTGCTGACCGCACCAGCTGGAGTGATCTTCTACCTCACGCAGTTCTACAAACGCAACGAGATCGCCTTTCGACTGAGTATCTTCTACGGCATGGTCACGATCGCTGGTGAGTATCCCTTCTCTGATACCTGATCCTTCTGACGTCTCTAGGTGCCTTCTCCGGCCTCATCTCCTTTGGCGTCTTCCAAATCAAGCACCACCTCCCAGGCTGGAAGTACCTCTTCCTCATTGAAGGTGGCGCCACCCTAATCATCGCATCCTTCTCGCTTTGGTGGCTCCCTGCCAGCGGCGCTCAGTGCCACTGGTTCAACGAAGCTGAAGCTCGCGCAGCCCAAATGCGCCTACTGCAAGACGGGTCGGTGCGAACGGGCGAGAAGCTCTCGATCACCGAAGCCTTGGCGGCGCTGAGTGACTGGCGTGTGCTAGCATGGGCTGTCAGCTGCTTCTGCTACGGCGTCGCCCAGACCTCCGTTAGCAATTTCCTACCGCAGATGGTGGCTCTCTTGGGGTATTCCACCATCAAGACGAATCTCTACACGGTGGCGCCGTACTGTGTCGGCACGGTCGTGCTATGGATTATCTGCAAGTCATCAGATCACTTCCGGGAACGTTCTATGCACTTGGCAGGCTCGCTGATGATCACCTTTGTCGGGTACATCATCTTGATCGCGGTGGACGCGTCAGAGCACCAGGGTGTCGCCTACTTTGCGTGCTTTCTATTGGCAGCCGGGGCTTTCGTGCCCAGCTCTGTCTTCCATAGTTGGCACACGAACAATGTAACTGACGAGTCGCAGCGTGCCGCGACTGTCGGATTCCTGGTGGGCGCGGCCAACTGTGCCGGCATCCCGTCCAGCCTGGCATTCAAGGCAGATACAGCCCCGCGATATAAGCCAGCGCTAATCGTAAACTGCGCGTTTCTCCTGTTCGGAGAGCTGGTGATCCTGGGGATGGGGGCGTATTTCCGTTACGATAACCGGCGCCGCGATCGCGAGCAAGGAGTGAGACTCACCGCGGCGGACGTGTCGACCAAGTCGCTGGTGGGCGGATGGAAGGATCCAAATTGGCGATGGACCGCATGAGGTCAGATATTGCAGTTAGTTTGGCCTTGTCATACGGCGATATGTAACCATGGGTGTGCCCGTAATGGGAGAACAAGGATTGTTGACGTCGGCGTAGTAAGAACCAATAAACTGTCGAGACAAAGTCATTCAGCGGTCCACTGTTTCAGGCGAATTCCCTGACCGCGATAAACTTTGATAAGCATCTATACTATTCAATCGGACAAAGAATGATGCTTCCATTGTTACTGGCTGCAATAAGCCTCAGCCACCTCGCGGAGGGATCACCCGGACGTCCGAGCTGACTGGGGTGTACGACCCCAAAACCGGACAGCTTGACTACGGCGACAGGGGTTGAGCCAATCTATCCGTACAGCGCGTTTCCCAACGGACGACCGTTAGGGCGGCTGATGCGCCCCATGATTCGCCGGGGATGACCTTATCGGGGCCTATCCTGAGCTGTTCGAAAGGCTGACAGGCACCAGGGATATGCAAGCCATAGCAACCACAAAAGTGATATCCATGCTTCCCCCCTTCTCCCTTTTCTTCCCCTCTATGGTCCATTTTGGTTCCAGGCGCAATCATAATTTCCTTCCCTTATGGCTGCCAGCGAATCCACGCCTCTACTCGAACCCTCCAAACAGCCGAAAGAGCGGTCATCGCGATGGCGGGTACTGGCTTTGATCTGTTTCATTATCCTCGTTCAAGACTTTGCCGAGTATCTCTCTCAGGCGCCCCAGACTGAAGTCTGGCTCGAGATCGTCACTCGCAAGTTCTGTCCTGTAGGGCAGGATGGGCCGGAATGCCAAATGGACCGCGTGCAGAGGGAGGTGGCTCTCCTACAGGGCTGGAAGGATACGCTGGAGCAGGTGCCGGGTAGGGATCACTTTCTTCATTTATCAGAGCTCCACTGACATATTCTAGGTATATTGTTCGCGGTGCCATACGGCGTGCTGGCCGACCGGATCGGACGTCGGCCGGTGTTGCTTCTATGCGCGGTGGGATTCACGCTGAGCGATACGTGGACCAAGGCTGTCGGTGAGCGCGAATCCTATAGATGAGGTACTCCTAGGTCTCAATAACTGATGCGGTTGATTACCGTCCAGGCTGGTTCTCCGATCAACTCCCGCTGCGACTGATCTGGCTTGGTCCAATAGCTCAAGTGTTGGGTGGTGGCACCCAAGTAGCCACTTCCATGATGTATGTCATACTCGCTGATCTTTTCAGCGACGAAGAGCAGTAAGAGACTTCCATGCCTCTAGTGGAGGATTACCTAGCTCACAAAGTCTAGAACCACGGCGTTCCTCTACGTAGCGGCCACAGTGCTCGTCAGCGAGATTCTGGCCACTCCGCTTAGTGCCCTGCTCATGACGAAGAATATATGGCTACCGTATCTACTATCGCCTGTTTTCAATGCTACTGGTGGCCTCCTCCTGTTTCTCTTACCGGAGACATTACCACAGACACCACCCGGCCAATCGTCTTCATCGGAGCAAGTATCACAACGACAGAATATCCGGGGGCGCATCAGGGCTGCAGTTGATGAGCTGGGCCAGTCAATCGCTGTGATCTGGCGACATCGCCGGGTGCAACTGTTCTTGGCGGTGTTCTTTATTGCGTATCTGGGAATGCAGGTAATGAAACTGCTTCTGCTCTTCGCTGTCGACCGGTTTCATTGGACGATTGCGCAGGTGAGTGGAACCGGGAAAAACCACGATATGGCCAGACCTAACATTTTTCCTTTCTAGGCCAGCTTCCTCATACCCGTGCGAGGATTTACTAGACTACTGCTGCTTCTGGTAATCCTGCCTGGCATATCGCACTGGCTCATAGAGCGACGGCGCATGTCCCCATTCACCAAAAACACTAGACTGGCTCTGACGAGTAGCGCTTGCATGGGCGTGGGATGTCTGCTGATTGCGCTGTCCAGCCATCCGGCGGGCGCAGTTCTGGGGCTGGTAGTGTATGCGCTTGGGTCAGCGATGCATCTGTTTGCTCGGCGCATTATCACGTCGCTCGTTGACGCGCATCACATGGGTACGCTGTATACGGCGATTGCGGTGATGCAGGGGATCGGGGTATTGGTGGCCGGGCCGATGATGGCGACGGCGTATGGCTGGGGACTGGCAAGGGGTGGAGTGTGGACGGGGGCGCCGTTTTTGCTGGTGAGTGGGCTTTATGGGGCGGCTGGGTTGGCAATCCTCCTGGGAAGTTGGGAGGGCCGCAAGGACGATCTGGAGGATGGTCAGTGAGAAAGCTGTGAGAAGCCGCGAGACTATTGGCTAAAAACATACACATGATCGCTACTTCCAGAGCACTTATAGTCTAGCACAAGATAAGCAATTGTGGTACCTAGTTTGACTGAAGCTTGACACATTTTAGTTCATTGTGGAAGCGCTGGACCGACCACTAGAGAGGGATAAAAATAGATCCCTTATAGTAATATAGTAATTACGTCTCGGGGATCGTCAATAGTTACCGATCCCCCTGCTGATTGAGGTGGTGCGAACATTGTCTGCAAATGAAAATCAATTCCAGATGGCTTGATGTAGACTAGGATCTCATGAAGTGAGGTTCTAGTCCAATGGGAAAGTGCAATATCCCGTCGTCTTGAATGTCTCTGATGGATGTTGTTGCGATGAAGAAGAAAACCAAAAGATTGAGGGAGATTGTGGGTGCCTGGCCACTAGGCCTGTTCGGGTGGATTTGCTGCCTTGTTGGCCTCACCCGCTCACCTGATCGCTA